TCTCACTGGGAACAGATAGGGATTTAAGCAGTGCAGCATTTTTGTGATTCATCCAAGTAGATGTCATCTGTACAAAATTGGCACTGAAATAACATATTTAAGAATAGCTTAAATCATAATATTAAATCATTAGACATTTTTCTCCATTAAGATGCAGTTTGGATAGCAGAAACTTAAATTTATCTCCAAGTTAAAGTACAGTCAGAGAGAGGAAATGAGCTGGAAAAAAAATATCATGTACATGTCTTCACCTGATCACATAAATCACTTGTTTGACGTTATGGAAAAGTCAGCGGCATCCTGCCCGCAGAAGAGTCACAAGGCTATGTATATGTGCACATAAATATAGTAGCTGCAGACTGAGATACTTGCTCTGCATATTTACTCTGTATCTCTCATGGATTTTTGCAAAATGGAATGAAGACAAGTGTCAAACATCTTACAGATCCTACGCAATTACCTTTCCCAACTAAGCCCCTTGTTTGCATGTGTTATTTAGATTCAGAAATGTCATAGAAAATACTGTGTTTCTAACTGTACTCACATTCAGAGGACTGAAAAAGTACATATCAGATGTCCATCCCCTTCTTTCCCCCAAATTATAAACCCCCTAAAATTAATTTTCTTTTCTCAGCTAGAACTTTTTAGTATGGTATATATGATTTCCTATTTAGAAATTGATTCTGGAAAAATGAAAGTGTAGAATTCAATGCTTGCTGATCTTGGATGGTCATCAAATTTAAAGTATTGAGTTCTTTTTGCTTTTCCCTGATTGTTAAACTATGAGAAAAAATTCAATATTTAAGGGTTTTTCCTCTTAATTCACAAAACATAACTCAGGAAAAAAGAAGTTTCAATGTTTCTTTAAATAATACATGGGGCAAACCAGAAATCTGTGTATCTGTTCTTACTTATGGTTTTCTTACAAAACAGTAGAAAGTGGTGTTTATAAATAAATAAAGATCTATCAACTTTCTTTGGCCAATGAGTAACACAGCTACTGCTTCAAGTGTTTGCAGAGAATGGATCCATTATGAAAAATGGTAAGTGTGCTTGTTTCTTTTCATTTTACAAACCATTGACGTCCACAGATTTGTTAAAAGATTTCCAAAATTGATGAAATATATGTATCTATTAAATGTTAAGGACTGCCTCCATGTTAGGTAAAACTTGTTCCCAGTACAATGATGTTAATTACTGCTTTGTGGTAGGAAATGAAACACTTAATCAGTATGTTCTGTGCTCTGGGGGCAGGTTTTGTTAGTAGGACCTGCTCTCTCAAGTGGAGTGTGAGAAGGCAAATATTTCTCTTTTTAACTTGTTCCATATACATAAATGTATAAGGATTATGCATAAAGAAGTAATATACAAGGAAATCTTGTCAAAAGCAACATCTGTAAATTTCCTTAGGTATTTCAAAGGAGATTATATAAGTGACTGCTGTCAAGATGGAAGTTAGTGAATAGGAACCCTGATAATGTGCAGTTTCCAGAAAGTTCTTCCCATATGAAACAGATAAAGTAATTTCAAAACTCACTTACTGCCTTAGTTTTGTTTTCTACTTTGGAAGCAACTGAAAGTGCCTTCTCCAGAAACAATTTTTTGTAAGCAGGTTTTAGTTTGCATTGAAAAAGATTGAGGTATCTTGCGTATTCAATTACAGTGGCTCAGATAAGCACCTGAAAAGGCAGCAGCCTTTCAAAAGCCAGTTGCAGCACACAAACATGGATATTCTTGTGCATACAATTCAATTAATAGCCTGTGTTTAAGGTTCTAAAATATTTGCTACAAAGTACTGTTTATAGTATTAGCAAGGAAAGAGAAGCTGATAAGGGTGGTGGAAATTTGATTTAGGTCAGGATTTAGTGGTTTAACAGTTTAGAATTTTTTAGTTATTTCTAAGCTTAAAGAAAGTGGGTGGGAGAAGGGAAAGTAATTTTTTTATAAAGTATGCTTGGAAAACTGGAAATTAAACAAGAATATAATATATAAATATATTTTGCATTCTGTTTTGTTGGTTCTATAAGGACGTAGGACAGCATTTTTTCAGTGAGAAGTTTCATGTGAAGTTCTATTTCATAACTCTCTTGGTTCACATAATTGATCCGAGGAGGGAGTAAAATGAAAATAGTAATTGAAAGGAGATATAATAGTTATTGTATAGGAAGGAACAGAAGTGAGAATGAGGGAGACAGCAAAAATGGAAGGAGAGAAGGGAATGGGAAAGGTACTTGGTTTTCTTACACAGTTTGCAAATTGGTATTTGTAGATAGACTAAGGGATCAGGAAAGAAAGCAGGATTTATGGTGGCACTTCAAATTTTAAGTGTTCAAGAAAGAATGAATTTTGTCTTTAAACTCTGACTAAAGTCTTCAGCTTTCAAGGCATCTTCATGTGGGCCTTATTAAAGCAGCTCCATGGACCAAGGATTAGGATTATTATAATTAATCAAAGTGATTCACACAGAGACTGCAGGTATCCATACCACAATGTTTCACTGTGTTAAATATCACCTGCTACTCCTGAAATGTGTTGTGGCCTGCAATGTACCACATGTGCTAAACATTGGCAATATAGAGTTTATATTTCAAGCAGTAGCAGACTGAAGCAGATGTTGAAATTTTCATAACTATCCCCAATTTAAATCTCTTCCTGACAAAAAAATCTTTTTCATTATCCAGACCTGATTTTTGTTTGATGCTGGAGCAAAGAAATAATGTCATTTTTTACCAGCGGTGTCTTAGCTACACAATAAGACTGAAGTCATTCTTCTGATTTTTCTTGTGGGTACACTATGTGATACAAAACATGCAAAAATCATGTGATATCAATGTGACAGAAGGCATGAATAAGTAATTCATATTTCCTTGAAGATGAGATAAACAAATATTCCACTGTTCTGAAATTTCATTTCTGTATTTAACGCAAAAAGTTGACAACATATAAACTTTTGTTGAAATGGAAACAGATCATTAAAAGCAAATGTAAAAGTTAAAAAAAGAAGGAACCTATTTTTTTAAAATACAATTTATTTGTATTTGAATGCAGGAAATTTTTTCCCTTGTAACTATTATTGTTATCAGTCATTGACTTGATGGAAATAGAAACATATGAAGTTCTGACCATCTCAAAACTTTAAAAGTGATAGGTTTTATATTTCTGTCGTTCAAAAATGATCATATGTTCATAAACTTTTAAAATTTTTATTTATTTAGACATCATCATTAAGCTGGCTGCATTTTTTAAGTTTGCAAACACTAGCCTGTGTTTTTCTTCAAGTTTGATTTTTACTATTTAAGTGTTTAACTAAAATAGAAAAACAACTGTTTGCTAACTTAGCAGGCCTCTGTTTAGAAATAGAAATTTTATACCTTTTACACAAGTTTCTTTGGACATTTTATGTCTTAATACAATCTAGATTGATCTCTCCCTCATTGCATAGAGCTGCATTTGCTGTCATACTGTCTTGTACAGAATGACTTGGCTCTCTGAAATCGATTTGCAACAAGAAATTGAAAATGAGCCGTCGTGCTCTGACTTTCAGCCACGGTGAGAGTTCAGGTAGTACCAGTGTAGGAGACTGCTCCTCCAGTTTGTGTTGCTGTTGCTACTGCTGCATGCCAAGAGTAGCCATGAAGTTGCCACCTTATGGGATGGATGAATTCACTTTCAGATCAAATTTCTGAAGTTATTTTATGAGATCGCAGCAATATGTCATTTCTTATTTCTTCCAGATCTGCAAACTATAACACTAGGACTCCCTTGCAGGAATCATAGCAGCGAAACCCTCTCTCTCTCCTTGGCAATTTCTGCCTCTCTTGCTGGAGGTTTCCCTCAGGTTGTTTTCAAACACAAGCGCAGCTGATAGCACAAAACTCCAATCTGTGTTTACTTATCTGGGTGTTCTCAGGGAGGTCCATTTCGATGTGGAACTTTGTAACCACAGACTGAAGTCCTCGTTTTACCAAACCAGCTAGGCACCTGCTTGCTTTTAAGCAAGCAATTCTAAGCAGTCTTATGTGCCAGTTATGTGCTTAAAGAGTTTGCTAGATAGGTAAGAATAGAGCTAGGCAGATGAGATGGTGTGGTAAAACACCTCCCATTCCACCCATAAACAAGAGTTGTCTTCTAACTCTGATGTCTGTTTCAGAAGCCGCCTCTCTAAAAGCACAATCAGCCGCTTAGTGACAAAGCTGGGCTACTGAAGTTCATAAACCAGTGGAATAAACAATATGGAACAGTGTACTGTTCCATATTGTTCTGAGGTCTGCACAAGGCCTACACAGGTCTAGAAAAAAGCTGTTAGACTTAAAATCTTCTTTCTTAAAAATGACAGAATTTGTCTGTGTTAATTCACTTCCACAAAATTTGTGTTTCTGCACATTGTATGCTACTGTGTGTTATGCTGAACTGCTTGGAACATCCAACAGGAAAATTATGAAGGAAATAAAAACAACCCTAGAGAATGAAATCTATATATTAACAAACAAAATTTTACAATTCAAAGTTACAGGAAAAAATAGTTTAAATGGTTTATGCTAATAGAACAAGTGCAGCCACTTGTCTGAGCTCAGCTTACTTATTTAGTCTGGTGATTGACATATGCATTTGGTGTGGCTTCTTGGATGTTTTATAATGAAAAAAAGTAAGACTGAATCTCACTTGTCCATATGCCTTGCTAAAATGCTTTTTATTGCTTTCTTTGTCCTGTGATTATGAATTAGGAAATTTACAATGTAAACTGCACTTGGTAAACTATATTGAATTATAAATCAAAAGCCTTGTAACGGCTGAGGCTTCCTTAGTGAATCCCTTTTGTGCCTCCAAAATTAGCATTGTCAATCAAAACCAACAGGTGGTGTATGGTTACAGAGAGTGAATCCCCTCTCACAAGAAACTTTCTTTCAGGAAACCAATCAGAACTGGCACCGACATGATGAGGCAGACGTGTCAGCAGAGCTGGGGTATATAAAGCGAAACAACTATGTTAGCACTTCTGAGCAGTCGTGCATTCCCCGCCTCGCCTCGGGTGTAGGGATTGCAAAAAAACAAAACTACACTGTCAAGACTGTGTAGTTTTGTTTTTATGATTAGAGGCTCTTCAATTCTCATGCTGGGATTGTCTAAAAAAATCTTACTCTGGATAAGGACGTCGTTCAAGAAGATTTCGTTGGGCTTAGCCCACTCTTGCAGGCACTTTGAGAGATCAGGTTAGTAGCATGTTTCTGCTGGTGTAATAAGTGTTTTATCAGTCATTAATAATTCTGATATAATCTATTATTTATAAATTTTCTCACGGGGGTTTTAGATTTCAGGGTATAGACATGAAACACTTAAATTCTCTGTCAAGGTTATAGCCTTAATTTCTGGAGTAAGCTTTGATAACTCTCAGCAAAAAATGGTTTTTTTCCAGTGTATTTTATTGATAAAGACTACATAAATTAAGCTTTTTAAAGTGCATGGAAACATGTGCTTAACTTAAAAACTCCTTTCTCTTGGGAGTGTTCAAGGTTATGCTGCTGAGAGATAAACTGAGAAGCTCCAAGAATAGCTCTGATAAAATGCACATGGTATCAGCTAAGTGCTGATGACTTTTTAAGGAAAACAACTGCTAAGGTATCAGTTACATGGCAGCTCTGGAACACTTGTCTGCTGTCATTCATGGCTGTGAAGGTTATTTCTGGAACATGACATTTTAGATGCATACTTTCAATTCTAATTATACAAGAAGCCTTATAAGATCAGATCTTCATCACCAGAATTTGCTTGGACAATGAAATATGGAAACTTTGTGGGATCTCAGTGGAAATTATCCTTAATTAAATTATTTCTGATCTCTTCTGGAAAATACATATATATATATATATATATATATATATACATGAGTTTTCATGATGTTTAATTGTATTTTAAAACTATTCCCATTTATTTTAGCTGAGCTTCAAAACATGGTCATAACTAAACCTGAAAATCCCAATTCAATACCCAGGTCTGCACTTATGCTCTTATTGCATGTATGCATCAGGCCTTGATTTCTATGAAGGAACCCATGTAACGAAGAATTTTCACCCCTGTGAGAGGTAGAATAAATTTGATTCATAGTGATAGAAACTTCACTTTCTCCTTTTTGAATTTAAGCTTGGGACTGTCACAAAATCAGGCACAAGAGCCAAAGTTAGAGGGAGTTAAGATGTAAGTTTGCCTTGAAATATTGTGGGATTTTTCTGTTTGTTGATACCAGATATATTCTGAGTGAAATTTTTAATGAGAAAAAATGTAACTTTAATGGATGTATGATAATATTAAGAAGATAATAGCTACCTTTTTAAAAACTGCACAATTCAACATCAATTAATAAACAGGTCATGCAAATATAAAATATCAACACACAAGCCTTTCTAGTGGCAGTGTGTTGTTTCAAAGTAGGATCTTGTGGCATAGCAAGAGAAAGCAAACTTTCTTTCAGATTTCATATGGCTTTGCAGTTGTTCAAGCCATCAGTGTCAGTGGCTACTTTATATCCTAGCTCACATTTCGAAGGTGGCTGTCTTTCCATATTCAAAATTCCACTGAGATATTCTCTAAGAAAGAGGAGAATTTTATCTGCATCTTTAATGCCAATATACTTCTGTAAAGTGAAATTATTCACTACTCAGAGTGCTTTTAAAATAGAGTATTTTGGTATTTGTTGCATTATTGCATTATTAATAATGCAACATTTATTATGTTATTGTTAATAATTTAATAGTAATGCATTATTTGCATTATTAAGCTAAACACCTTGTAGACTTCCACATTTCTTTCAATTGCTTTTTAGTGACCTATTTGTCTTGTCACTGCAGAATGCAAATATTTTGCACCACCAAAATATTTTTTAAAATTACCCAGGGTAATTTTTCCTGTCAGATAAAACAAGCTAGTAGACAAAGACAGGCAGCCTGAATGACCTGTGGAAGGTCACACAGTGAGTCAAGCAGAATTTTGTCTCCTGTTGCATACTTGCAATACCAAAGCACAGCTCCACTAAATAGAATGGTTTCCCATCCAATGCAGCCAAGCATGTTCCAAGAGTAATTTGCCGTACGAATTTGTCAAAACCCACAATCTTTTCATTTCACAAGGTCATTCTGATTCAAAACTGAGAAGAGTAAATTCAGAGGATAGTTACATATATTCTTAAAGTCTTGCAAGAAGTGTGTGGGTATAATAACATTTCACCATTGATGTCTAATGATGGGGTCTTTTTGCTTGCAGAGTGCCTGTAAAGATGACGACGAAAGCACCAACATTTACACAGCCGTTACAAAGTGTTGTGGCACTGGAGGGTAGTGCCGCAACCTTTGAGGCTCATATTAGTGGTAAGGTTTTGATTCATTCTTCCAAGATTTGTTCTTGTTTAGCACTAATTTCTCTTCTAATGTTTATGCTAAGAAAAATGATGACACTTTTCATAGATCATAATCTGGTATGAATGGGTAAAGATGAGTGCTGAAATACAGATATATATCCATGTCATAGAGTGCTGAACAGCTCCTTTAAATATATATGCATAAAAATACACACTGTGCTAATAAGGGAACTTCATGTGGCTGCAGAAAGGATAATCTCATTTGGATGATGACTGGACAGAATTAGAAGTCAGGGTACAAATCAGGGTTTATGCTAGCTCTTCCAAGAACTTTTGTTAAGCTTTACTGTATCTAAGCTGTATTTCTGCTTCCTGTGCCCTCAAATTTACTTAATTCCAGAGTTCTAAGATGGGGATTAAAAGCACAAAATCTAGACCCAACTGGCCACTGAAGAGGGCAGAAAACCCTAGTTAAGCTAAAAAATAGATGTGTATGGTGATCATGATGTTAGCACAAGGCTGGATTAACATAAATTACCTGTTCAATTTTAAGATACCACGCAATTTAAAGGATACTTGATTTCTCCAGGCTACATACTATTCAAACACCCTATCTTGTGCAAAACACCAAGCAAACCCCTGAGACAGCATTACCAGGGACCCAACACCCTGTTCTAAGAGTGTCTCTGACCTCGCCAGTGACTAAGGAGAAATGACATGTGTTCCTGCTGGTGGAATTATATTGTCTTACAGTCATTAGCAATGTGATGATCCACATACCATAAAGCACTACTCAGATGCTCTGTGACAGGTGCAAACACATGATCTGTGCAACTATAAAGATCTCTGACATCTATGGTCCATGTATTTCATACCTTAGTCCCTTTGCATGACACAAGCTCACACAAGGTGTTTGAACATGTCCTGCAGTCTCCATCTGTGACATTTTTTCATGCCATGTTCTATTCTTCAGTTAATTGCCCTGATTTTCTCTTCTTGCCTCTGCACTGTAAATTTTCTGTGTTTTTTTTTTTTTTTGCTTTTACAATACTCATTATTATTATTATTATGAATACCTAAAAATATAACCAGAAAAAGTTAGGAGGCTAGTATTATTATTCAGTGTGATTTTGGCTAATTTCATTTGTGTGATATTATGGAGTACTGGGAGGGGAACTTTATTTCTTACTAAGTGAAGATACAGCAGTATTTCTAATAGTATATGCCATATTTGTATGTTAGTTTCAAAGATCTTGTGAGTCAGCCTCTTGTTAGGTTTTTTTCGGCATTGTGAGAGTCTGGTGTATCCTTCCTGCCCTAAAAACATCCTCCTGTTTTGAAAGATCTGACAGTGGCTTGGCATTTAGTTTTCAAGAACACAAAAAACAGAAAAGGTTTTTACTACACCTAATTGCATAAATAAAGGACTACACAGCTTCATCCTACTTTAATGTCTACCCTTTCTAGCTGGAATGAATTATTGTGCGTTTAAAAATCAGATTTTTTTCTCTATCTCTAATTACACTGGTCTATACAAATCAAGTATTAATACAGAGCTACAGTTCAAATGTGAAGAGCTCAGTTAATCTAAGAGTATCAAGAAGAGCTTAGCAACCACCTGAGATGTAATTTTGCCATGTGTAAACTAGAACAAATGAACAGTGCTGCTGTATTAGAATGTGAATTAAGTGTCCCATTACAAAGGGATGATATCAGATGAATATACCCAGCACGTAACAGAAAGCACAGAACACACAAACCCTGTTATTAAAAGCAGCAAATGCCAGAGCAGCCAGGACGCTGTCACAGGGGGAGTCCTACTGGGTCACCAGTGACTGAGTCATGAGACAAGAAAGTCAGAACTGTTGCTGGCATTAGAACTGTGCCAAGCTCATGTCTCCACAGTACTGATCAAGTTTGAGTTTTTTCATAAAGAATTAACCTGTGCACTGCTTACCTTTCTTGAGCTGGTATTTTCAGGTATTATTCAGCACAAGACAGCCTTTACATAGAGCTTGTTTTTGAAAGCAGCACACAAATCATACACAAGTTGGCAGTCCCTCACACATCGTTGTCAGGACAATCTTATTGAATCCAATTACTTAAGTGGTGAATTTGAGGCACTACAGGTCGATTTTCTTCTTTTTGGTATTAAAGTTCAAAAAACCTGAAGGACAGTTTAAAAACGAAAAAGAATTGTCCTAATCATTTGACAGTCAAATCATAGTGTATTTGGGACATGTAGAAGTAAAACCCTACTCCATATAGACTGGGCACATATATCTATAATCCAAATTAGATCTTACCTAGCTCTGTGACCTGGGATTAGCAGAGTACTAGTAAATTTGTGGAGTTGAGTTTTAAATACAAACTTGGGCTCAGATTTCTAAAATGGCTTCTAGCTTTGGATCCCTTGTACACAGCAGTTTGAGACATCAAAATAGACTCTATTTTAAAAGTGCAGGCCTTTTTCCACCTGCCACAGAAACTCCCATTTTTGTTAATCATCATATAATACCACTGCAAGAAAATAGAACTTTTGACAATGTTTCAAGAAATTCACTACTGAGGACATGATTTGGGAGGCTGCCTGGCTTAAAACATTTTTAAACTAATTTTCACAAATATTGAAGACACATAGTTCTGAATTAAATCACTGGTGTCTGCTGCATACTCTAAGTTTATGATGATAATGCCCAAGTTGCCCTACACCAATAGCACAAAATTGAATTATACCATCCCATCAGGACTGTTTCATAACTTCCATCTGTGAAATTAGCAATGCTTAAATGTACTTTTACCCTTTTGATTTCTAATCCTACCTAAAACTGTCCACATTTTCTTTCTCTGTGTGTGTTCTTGTTTTATGTTTCTCTAAATATCAGTGCTTTACTGTGAATAACATTTTAAACTTTCCTAACCAAGTCTGATGGGACTGCAGTGAACCAGTGAAGGCCTCAATCTACATATCAGCTTCTCTTTCACTTTAGTCTCACACAGTCATTTTCCTTGCACGTCAAATTCCCTAATAATTTATTCCATTAGTAGGAAGGATAATCTAGAAAGGAAGCAGAATTCTGTGCACCTGGGATTTTCCAAACCACAGACATTAGAAAGAGGAAAATTAATTCATCTGTAAATGCAGTCTCAGATCTCATTGCTTAGCCCCCATGCAGTGCAACTGGTGATTTGGGTTGAGTGGAGATATACATGAAGTGAATTTGGGAGGATTTTAATTTTGAAGAAATAATGTTTTAGAACTACAAAAAAGACTTTGAGCTGAAACCATCTCCTTAAATTACCTGTTATCCTTATGTGGTTCATATAAGAATTTTACATGTTCATTGAATGGATTTAAGTTGCTCAATAAATTTGGCTGAGCAGAACACTGAGAGGAGAATTTCTGCAGGCAATCTAAAATCACCATTTAAAACCAAAAATCAACTGTCATTAAATTGAATTTTTCTGACCCAAAGACTCTTGCTCATGACCCTGACAAAAAAAAAGTAATGTTATTTGCGCAACTGTTGATTCTAGATGACTGCTGTTGATCAAACTCAAAAAATTCTAGAAAAAGAAATTAAAACCCCCAAAACTTTGCTAGCATCTGATTTTAATGTCTAGAGCAGTTACTTGTTCTGTTGCTTCATTTTCTAAAGCCATAGTAGTTTTAGAACATATGCTTCATTTGGTTGGAAGTACTGATCTTTACATTATCTCCAGACTATTGGAATGGATAAATACATTAGCAATAATCAATCCTACTTAGATACTAGCAAATACATTTCAAAAATACCTCACATGAATTAATTCATCCTCCTCATGAATTTGATTAACTTCTATTTCTTAGTAAGATTGCTAAACACTACAGTTTTCTCATTATTCAAGTGATTACTAAATGCAGGAGCCAGTGCAGCTGCTCTATCGCTCTATGCATTTTAGAGACCTTTCTAAAACCAAATGGCTTTGCCACTGTGCCACTGGGCATAGATGTGTGCTTATGGCATTATTCTCCACCACAACTGTGTGTACATGCTAATTTTTTATGTCTGGCATTTCATAATGTCTTCATCTCCATTTCTCTTCCTTTTTCTGTAGGTTTCCCAGTTCCTGAGGTGAACTGGTTTCGGGATGGCCAGGTTCTCTCTGCTGCAACTCTGCCCGGTGTGCAGATCTCGTTTAGTGATGGCCGCGCTAGACTGGTGATCCCCACCGTGACAGAAGCCAACAGCGGGAGATACACTGTGCAAGCCACCAATGGATCTGGGCAAGCGACTAGTACTGCTGAGCTGCTTGTCACAGGTACGCAGCAGCTACAGAAAAACACCTCTCCCTGCCTGCTAGCAGTCTGAGGGAGTGATGGAAGAGTAACACATAAGGAAATAATTCAGATTTCAAGTACATAATCAGCAAAAAATAGCAAACCACATTCCTTTTCCTAAAGCAGCATAGTACTCAGCATGTGTTCTCACCTGTAATGTCTAACAGTGTCCTTTACATTTTAACTGTGTAAAGTTTAATCTTACAAACTCTTATTCATGATTACAAGCTTCTGGCTCAGCCCTTATATGTGCAGCTCCTTATGGTCTCTCGTGCTGGCTACATTGAAGTTGATCATAAGAGAAAGGATGTTCTTCAGGATGGAGCCATTAGTGATATCTAATGCTATCAATGATATTTAACAGAATAAGTCACATAAAGTGCCATACCAAAAGACTGTGCTTAATGCCTATAGTTACAAGCAATGTATCTGTAATTCTAGAAACATTTGCAATCATAGGTGTAATCAAAAATAATATTTTGAATGTTTCAGAAGGTACTATCATCTGTCAGCATGTGGATAAGAAATAGACCTCACACACTTCTAGTAATGAAAGTATATAGTACTTGCCATTCTTTTTAACAGACACTATTGTTTTTCTATTTACTTCTTCAATAAAAATGCAGCTGCAACAGCACCACCAAACTTCTCACAACGACTACAGAGCATGACTGCAAGACAGGGAAGTCAAGTTCGACTTGACGTGAGAGTGACTGGAATCCCTACACCTGTGGTGAAGTTCTATCGGGATGGAGTAGAAATTAAAAGTTCCCCCGATTTTAAAATTTTACAAGAAGGAGACCTTTACAGCTTAATAATTGCAGAAGCATATCCTGAAGACTCCGGCACCTATTCCGTAAATGCCACAAATAGTGTGGGACGTGCTACTTCAACAGCTGAATTGCTAATTCAAGGTAACAGAGCTGAAGATGCAGGCCATGAAAATCAGAGCATTAATGGTAGTGGTGAAATATGCACCACTTCATTGCAGTTATATCAACAAGTTACTTTATAATTTCTTCCTGAAGAATTATTAACTTGCTGTAAAAAAAGCAATGTTTTTGAAATTTGCCAAATATTTTTGTCTGAGATTTAAAAGGACCTTTTCTCCAGAATGGGTCTTCTTTAAGCAGAGGATATAGTTGATGGAAAAAGTGTGGGATACCTTGACTTGTTCTCATTTTGGTCTGTAAATCTGTCAATCAGTTTTATTTGTAAGTTGGCTTTGATAGAATAGATAAATTAGACTGCATAGCTGTACCTAGTCTTGTGAAGGAGGCTGGTTCAGATGAAGACAGTTCTTAGAGAATTGTGGCAGGGAAACATGCTACCCAGAGCAGCCTTGCTTGGATTTCACCTCAGTCAGGCTTAGATTCTCTGTGATCATTTTAGATCCAGGATTGATATGAAGAATCTACAATGAATGTATTTTGTTTTGCTTTGTTTGAGTTTTTTCTAATGACTTGGTAATGCAGTAACATTGTTTCAGCTGTTTTCCCAATTATCTGTCTGTAGATATTGAAGGTAAACCAGATGGTTGTTTAATTATTTTTCTGTTGTATATGTAAATTTCTATATAATTGGAGTTGACCATTCATTCATTTCTCTGTTTGTTGATTGTTGCCATATGCAATTCTGCTGACTGTTTTTTCTTTCAAAAGGCGAGGAAGAAGCCGTTCCTGCTAAAAAGACAAAGACAATTGTTTCGACTGCTCAGATTTCACAAACAAGACAAGCCAGAATTGAAAAGGTATAATTTTCAGAAACAAAGCAGGTATGGCTAAAATGTGGAGGATTACTTCTACAGTCCCTCACCCTAGTTTTCCTTTTCGTGTTTTTCATTGTAGAAGACTGAAGCCCACTTTGATGCCAGATCACTTACAAGTGTTGAAATGATTATAGAAGGTGCAACCACCCAACAGCTCCCACACAAGGCACCTCCACGAATGCCTCCTAGACCTACATCCAAATCACCAACCCCGACAACTGCTGCAAAAGCACAAATGGCACGACAGCAATCACCATCGCCCGTTAGACAATCACCATCACCTGTAAGACATGTCAGAGCACCAACACCTTCACCAGTAAGGTAAAATACTATTATTTTGGGTAATATTGCTTTTGGAATCACTTTTGCATATAGAAATAATGCTGTAGAATGAGAGCACAGTATGAAATGAAAGAATGCACCTACTTATTAATGACTGCATTTATTCTGATGGTGAGCTGTAACATGCTATATTTGCCACTGCTATAGAAGTGTGGGTTACCTATGTAGATTTCTATCCCTGTTGTAGAAAATCCCATTTGATTGCTCTACATAGAGCCAAAATAGCACTCACAGCTCCGTTTCATAATGAAACAGAAAAAAACAGTCGAGCTCTTGATTACTTCAGATGAACAGAGAAAAGAGCAATGACACTGATGAGTGGCAAACAGAATTAAAGGATATGTAAAAAAAAATTGAGCTCGTGTTCCACGTGTGTGCTGGTAACAACTACAGAAATAATATTTTGAAAGCAGGCAAGCTAAATGTGATTATGGAAAAATGAAGTTTATCTCCACTGTGTAGAAGGTCTAGAGAGGGAAAGTGAGTGATTTGAAGAGCAAGGCTCCTGGTCTGGGAGACACCATGAGGTCTGTGCTGAGGGGGCAGGTAAAGCAGAGTGTTTTGAAAGTCTTGTAGTTTCAGTATCCTGAAGCACCAGCATCATGGAAGGAATGTCTTCAAGCTGAATGCTCAGAAGAACCCCATTTAAGTTGCCAGAGTTGGGTGTGCTGGTCAATTTTATCCCACTAATACTAACATGCAAGGACAGAAATAAATGGATCAATAGCAACTATTAGTAACTTAAAAACTGCATAAATGAGAAAGGAATTCAATAGCGACATCTAGAGCACATACAGAACTAGAATTTTGCCCTCCCATGCTAGTCAGAACCCTTTTAGACATACAAGACGTTATAAAAAACTAAATCTAAAAATTAATATGATGTTGCTGCCCCCTACTGCTGCTATTTGTTAACGTTCACTGGAAAATACAGCATAAAAAATTCCACTCAAAGAAATTCTAAGTTAGAAAGCCTGTTTAAGAATTTTGGAAAATGCTTTAAAACTGTCTGCTAGGATTAGGACTGAATTTTTGGAACATCAGAGTTTAGAAACTAGCACTTTCCAAGTGGATATAAACTATTGTGTCTGAGATCTGTAAAGGTAAGTGCAGGGAAAAATATTAGGCACTGATGAGAAATTTGCCTGGATTATGGGTACGTAAATGGATGACACATGAAAATAAGACATCATACAGAAGTACATCCAGTTGTTTTGCTAGGTGGTTGCCACATGACATTTTTCTCCAGATTGGTCACAATTATGGTTTTGTCTCTCAACAGAGACGGGCCCATGAATGTATGGTGAAGCTTGTGAGCCTTTTGTATTATTCCTATTAGAAGAATTAGGGTAGAGCAAATGCAAAATCATTTTTATATTTCAAATATATTTGGCTGACTAAAATTTCTTTTGCCTCTTGTTCCTGTTCTTTTTTGGAAACTAAGCTACTACAAAGACATGTTGAAGTTCTGAGAATGGCAACAGTTAAGCATAATGTTTAAAAAACATGTTAGTGCAATTTACAAATAGAGCCTCTCAAAAGCCTTTCTTAAAATGAAACTACACATTACTGGAGATACCCTGTATGGGCAGTGAGTTCAAATTCAGGCTGAAGTTGTTTATATAATTATCACTCTGTGGCAGTAGATTAATGATATTGTTACTCCTTTTTTTTAAAAAAAATAGGTCAGTTTCTCCTGCTGGGAGAATCTCCACGTCACCTATTAGACCAGTGAAATCTCCATCTCCAATCCGTAAACCACACGTAGTGACAACAGCTGGGGCTGATGTCCTTCCTCCTTGGAAGCAGGAAGGATATGCTGGAACCATGGAAGCCCAGATGAAGGAAACAAGAGTATCTACAAGCACTACCCAAGTCACTGAAGAAAGATGGGAAGGGAGATATGGGGTCCAAGAACAAGTTACTGTTACTGGCACTGCTGCTGGCGAGGTGGCCACTGGTGCTAGAGAGGTAAAGTCTGCTTCTGGAAAAAATACTGGGTTTGGTTTGTGTGGGGTCTCACCACTGCTGGATAGATCTGCTGAATGGAATCTGAGAGGCTATGTGTAAAACCTTGTGTGCATCTGCTGTTGAGAGAGTTCTGCTGCAGATGTGGAAATGCTTATTTGCAACACTCTTGTCTCTGTACTTGTTTTGTGCTTCTTCTGAATGTATGCAAAATATGAAAAAAATGTCTTTTGATGTGACTAATATAGGTGAGAAAGGACAGTGAAAAAACAGCAGCTATTGCTACAGTTGTTGCTGCTGTGGATCAAGCCATGGTGAGAGAACCAGCTCCAGGTGTTGCAGAGCAAACTGCTAAAAGGACAGCAATGACTGCAGTCCACGTTCAGCCTGTTCATGAGCAGGTAGAAATAGAGCACAGACATTCTATGATTTCCCTTTATCCCTTCATCCAACACACAAACAAGGCATGATTCACTGTGAGGAATTAACAAGATATTACCCAGTGGACTGCAAAAGCATGCATACTCATCTAGAACACCCGGACTAAAGGAATGCTCAGGTTCACTTACACCATTGCATTCCATCATAACAGGATTGAACTAATTACTCTTTTTTGGTTTAAGGATGCTTTCTCTGAAAGTGATCCTCTATTCTCTCTTCTCCTTTATTCTCTTAACATTATTCTTAGAATGATGAATTTTTTTTCTCTAATATCTCATTTATAATTTCCCCACTAGAAATAACATAATTCTCCCTTGGTATTTTTCCTTTACTTGAATTACTCTCTTATTTTTCTTTCTCCTCTTATTTTGATGATCACATTTGAAAAATTAATTCTAAGGCTTTGGGTTTTTTTGTTTGTTGTTACAAAATCAGATGAAAAAGGAGGCAATGGTAGTAGTTACCAGTGATAAAGCCACAAAACAAACAGTGATATCAAGAACTAGAGAAGGAATTGTAACTTCACAAGAACAAAGACACATCTCTCCTGAAAAGGTGAATACAGATTGTACCTGAGATTTTCTATGCCCTACCTTGTTCAAAAAATCTGATATCTCTTACAAAAGACAAGCCTATGAAGAAGAAAAATGAGATACTGTTATTATTTGTCCCATTTATATATGTTCACTCTTTCAGTTTACACTGCCATCTTTTTCCTGTCTCTTCTCTATGATTAATCTCTTTCACTTTTTATTTCACTTTCATTTTTAGTTATACCTAAGAATGTGATCGATAGAGTTGCAATAACCAAGACAAACCTCTCTTTTCTCATATATCGTATAGTAATTTACTAGATAGCATTCTTGATCATTTAAAGAATTGAGATGTAGAAACAAGCTCTTAAATTTAGCTGGGGGCCGGGTGTGTCTGTGGGGGGGTGTTCTGATATTGTCTCTGAGCTTGCCATTTGTAGCCTGCTTTGTCTGTTGGCAGCACAGGGGGTCAGAAAAAATGGAGGAAAAACTCATTCTGCATTGAAATAAATTTTGAAAATACAAATGAGTGATTTGAATTCAGATTATTTTAATGTGTGTTTTATCAGAAAAATTGTGATTTAATGGAAGATCATTATAGCCAATGTTACATTTTCATTATAGTAGCAATGTGTGAGGAAGAAAGTGTAACCTCTCTTTAAAGCACTGAGAAACAGAAATCCACCTGGGCATTAATCTGAACTTAACATTTGAAGTCTTGTCAAATGAAAGTTTTGTAAAACTTATTTTTAATATCTTGCATTTTCTTAAAGTGATTTTAATGCAGGACAGTTTTTCTCTGAGTCAATTTTTTTAGCACTGCTTTCAGAAGCAAACCAAGCATTTGTGCAATGTTTTATTATTTTTATGTTAAATGTTTTGTACAAAGTCCGTTTATGTTTTTATTGTTGTTTCCAGACTAGATGATTTCAAAATACAGAATGTGACAGCTTTGCTCACTTTCTATGCTCTTTTCCAAATATAAAATCGCATACCTTATATCTTAAAATAAAAAGTTCCTTATCTGTAAATGTCCAGGTGAGAAAAGAACCAGAGAAAACTCCAGTACCGACAGTAATAATTGCCACAGACAAAGCCAAAGAACAAGAAAGAATAGCAAGAGCTAGAGAAGAAATATCTACCAGACATGAACAAGTGCACATTGCTCATGAACAGGTAAATAAATATTACAATCTTTACTTCATTGAGGTACTCTGGTTTATAAAATTTGTTAAATAACTTTTCTGTCCTTCTTTAAGAAGAGATTACTACACAAAAACTTTGTGAAACAAGGTATTCCAGACCACGTCTCTGCAGGTCCAGTGCTACTGACCTCAAACAGCTCTGTCTGCAGAGGAGTGAGCTGCCCTTCTTACAGATCCTTCGAGCATTAGGGCTTTTATTGCCACAGTACATAGAATTTCATCTGATGCTTAATGACAAAGTTATCCCTGAAGATAGATTTCTGAATATAAATTTTAAAGGTTATTTTTCAGAGTATGATATGTAGTGTGGAGCTTGATTTAATGAAGTTCATATTTGTGTGAGGATTGAATACATCTGTTACACCATATTGTGGAATCACTCAACTGATGGGGTTAGCTATTAAGTCAATAATACTAATTTCTGTGCAAACAGTTTCTACAAAACATAATGATCTATTACAAAATAGGAAGTACAAAGTTTCTTTTCTCATTCAAATAAAAATATATGAATGACTTTGCATGAACTTCTCTCAGCATGTAAGATGGGCTATGACTACAAAGGTATTACTCCAGTTCTGAAATCATGTTTCTTTCTTCTTGATATACGTCTAGAAACATTATCCTGCTTTCCAAAAAAGTTGTGTAATTATGACAACAGGCATAATCAATTACTATTATTTTTCTTTACCATAAAAAATAGATAAGAAGGGAAGAAATGAAACCTTCAGTACCTAAAGTAGTAATTACTACTGATAAACCTAAAGCACCGGTCATAATATCGAAAAGTAAAGAAAGAGTTACCACCAAACAAGAACAAGTGAGCATAACACGTGAAAAGGTGAATAGCACTGTTTTAGCCACATTTGGGTTTTATCCTTTCTTCTTTGCAAACCTCCTGTTTTCCTCAAAAAATACTAACTATACATTTCCAGCTCATTTTTTCTAAGATTATTCCACTTACAAACTTTTAGACCTACTGCTAATTAGACTAAATTATTTCATCTTGATCTTCCTCTCTTGTTTTCATTGCTCATAATTATCTTCTGACTGATGTTTGGAGTGGACTGACTGACTCCTGAGATGCATTTTAACTTTTTTTTTTAATCATTACTTTTATTTAAATAGGTGCAAGGGTATAACAATACTTATCACTATACACATAACACAGAGATGCGTGCAGTGCACAAGGATCTAACCCTTAAATTCTCCTTCCCTGCTCTCATTTCAAAATGTTTTCTCATTGTTCAAATGTCTTTCAAGACTGAATGTAACTGAAACTTTTATTTCTGCTATAAAAACTAGATTTAAAAGGAAGCTGAGAAAACTACTGTAGTTTCAAAAACTGTAGCCACTGCTAAAACCAAAGCACCAGTCACAATGTCCAGAACTGGGGAAGAAATTACAGCCAATGCACTGTTACAATTTGGTTTATCTGAAAACCTTAAATTTTAAGACTACTTTGGTACAACAGAATGTTCTCAAATTTATTCCTGAAAACTTACCCATTCACTGGGATGATTTTTGAGTAAAAGAGTCAGTAGGATTAAGTTTCTAGTGGTTAAGAGGTTTATATCCCACCCTGCTAGGAAATGTCACACTTTAGGCTATAGTCTGATTTCTCTGTGACAGTCTCCTCTCTGTCACTGGCTTTTAAGCAACATTTGCTTAATCAGATTTCTGACTCCGCAATCTGTTTTTCTACTTGATGATTCCTTGTAACTTCATGGTTGTCAGATGAAACAACTTCTCTTTATTGAGGTATGAATTGTTCTTTGTACAAAACAAACTTTAACATCCATTCAGGTCTGTCCAGTCTGTTACTTATGACCATCAGACACTTTTCGGCACTACTTTGTTCTAGTAGTGTTCACACAGTAGGAAAGATCTGCAGTACAATCAGGAACTCTTACATGTGGAAAAATAGCATAGTTGACAACAGCTGTTATTTAAAATCTACCTGCAGTGTAGTACATTCATAAAATACTCTTATAAAATATAAGTAAATGAGTGAAGTGTATAAAATTCACTCAGAGAAGTCAGACTGCTAGGTGAGTTCAATCCCTTGTTATATGATGTAAATTTAGGGCCAAATTCAAGCCACTATAAAAAATTATTTGGAAACTGACAGTAGTATTGAAAAAGAGGTCCCTGTTACCCAAATACTGCTTTAATAAGAAAACAAAATCTCTGTAAAGGATCACATTTTGGTCTCACCTAAATAATTTTAGTTTAAGCTGGTAATGGTTTTAAAAGCAGTATGAAATTATCCATTAGGGGTTTTTTTTTCCATTTGCAAGGCATACGTATCATATGCTCTGTTGCTACATCCAGATCAGTCATGACAGTAATAACAACCTGTAGTAGTAGCCACTATTATCTACTACTGGCTGACTGGGCAGAAGTTTGGACCCTAATAACAAAGTTGACAGTATTTATGAGTTATTAGAAACAAATAGTAGCCCTGATACAAAAACATTGTTTTCAAATTATCAGACATCTCAGTCTCCCTTCTTTTGTAAAATCCTTTAAAATAGATCAGTACTGAATTAACAGCTATATCTGATGTAGAAATTTTTATGGGTCTGTTTCTTAGTAAATACATTCAAAACAGATGCTAGGTGCATTTTTTGCATCCACAAGTTATATGGAGCTGATGAGCATACTTTAAAACTATGTGCACATTTACCTACCTGCATACTCTTAGACAAGTGGACACAAATGTGGCTGTAAAGTATTAAAATTAGTCTTGCAGACACACATTGATATGCATAAAACACAGAAGCACAGATATATTCTTAATGTGCAGAGATAGCACTTAGAGAATATATTTGCATTTGAATTTACTGATTCTTAAGTGTATTTACAGGTGCATACTTTTGATCTTCTCATCATGACTTTCGCAAAACCATACAACCTCTCTTTGGAATATACTCAACATTGTAACTGTTTGTCATATATACAAGTTTTCAATATAATTATGAATATGTTTAAATTCTGCTGATGTTATTTGCAGACTCAAGCTGGAAAAAAGGCTGAAGCTGTAGCTACAGTCGTTGCAGCAGTTGATCAGGCACGTGTTCGATCACCCTGGCAACCAGAACAAGCAGATGAAGCTTATGTAAAGGAGAAAACTTTGGAATATGGTTATAAAGAGCACACTGTAACAGACCGTGGTCCTGAGGTCCCAGCAGAACGTCATGTTGTTACCAAAGAAGTCAAAACAGTCTATGTTCCTCCTGAGAAACATATCTCAGCTCCTGAAAAGCAGGAAGTTCATATATCAAAAGAGGTTAGACTCTTTTTTTGCATTACACTCTTTTCCAGAAACTATGTCCAAGGGAAATCTGTTTCGGTTTAAAGAGCAGCATCACTTTCAACAACTTTTTTCCTTATGTTGTGTAGATAAAAAGAACAACAGAGCTTGAGAAAACAATTCATGTTGAACCGCCACGGCCTCGCACAGCAAGTCCTCACTTCACAGTCTCCAGAGTTGCTGTTCCTAAACCAGATCATACGTATGAGGTAAGCTGAAGGTGTATCCAAGAGGAACAGCATGCTCATTTTCCATAGATCATCCATTCCATTTGGAAAAATCCATTTAGATTTTCCCCCCACACTCCAGTGTGGTACTTCCCCAAGAGAAAGAGTTGTATGCTCCTTGCAGTTATTTTTGTTGGCTTGTTTGACTAATAAGGAGCACTGCTGTAACCAGACTAATTAATTGCTAAAATACAATTTGTTGTTATTATTTCTTATTTAAATAATGTTATAAACTGTTTGAGGATGCAGCTTCAGTACTTCATGGCATACAGTGAAATTGTAGATATTTGTCATGCAAGTTGTATTTTTTAAAGAGCACAAGTATCCCTCTTTAATCTTATTATGGGCATCAGCACACTCACACATTGTTTTTTTCTTCCTTGCTAATTAATACATGCTAAGCTAATTTTTTAAATACAAAAAATCCAGACTGACTGCATAACATGATACCATCAATTTTTAAAGTTATTCCATTTTGCTCTTGGACTCCTTTACATAGTATTAAAATTTTCCAGTTATTAATTTTCTCATTCAAGCATACTTTCTCTCTTCATCTGGAATTAAAAAATTATTTTCCCCCAAATATGATTAAACACTGTTATAAATATTTTTATGTACTTTAAAGAGTTTTTTTCCACCTATAAAAAGATTTTGAAATCTCTTCAGTTATTTTAATCATTGGAAGTTATAGAATTAGTAGTGTTCTTTATTGCAGTCTTAGACAGATTAAATGGAAATCTAAGGCTTCAAGCAAAGAAATGGAGAGAACATTTCTTGTGCTGCACTTAAGAGCTTCTTGACCATGTAAAGATCAAATTCTATTTGAAACAGAAAATATTTAAATGTTAGACAGATCAAAAATAATGCAGGGATATGATATCTCTGGCATTCTGCTACTGCAATCTAAAACTACTCTTTTTTTACATATGGCTTTTGCAGTGTCAAAACTAAGTAACAAAGGAAGCAACTGCTGCATATGCAATCTGCTCAAGAAATGCACTCTCTCCTTTGAAAATAAGACAACAACAAAACTTTAACTCTTTTTCTTCTGTTCCCAAGGTTTCAATAGCTGGAACTGCCATGGCTACTCTGGAGAAAGAGCTGTCAGCTACTTCTGCCGTGCAAAAGATCACCAAGCCTGTGAAACCACCTCAGCTAAAGCCTCATGAAGTCAGGACAAAAGCAGAGCCTGTTGCCCCTCCACAGTTTCCCTTTGGAGAGGCTGCGGAGACATACAAGAGTCACTATGATGTTGAGACTAAAAAGGAGACAAGCATTAAAAGTGAAGCAGTGAGGACAGAACACTTGATGCTGCATAAAGAAGGTGAAGCAAAGGTATGTTTTCAAGCAAATTTCTGTCACTTTGACTGACTTTCATCTTAAAAATATGGAATAGCCTCACTTTTTTGCTGTCTTCTTATCACAGTTTTCCACTTCTAAAGCATTCTGCTGCCTTTTATTTTTTATTTGTTTTATGCAAATCCTTGTTAGGACCTAATATTTACTTATGACATGCAAAGAGTTCATATTACCTGATTTATTTTCTTATTTAAATTATACTTTGTTCATTATTGTCCTCTAAACAACCTAGGTGACAGAAACTGCCAGAGTTCCTGTACCTGCAGAAATCCCTGCTACGCCACCCACCTTAGTCTCAGTAAGTAATTTGTATGTACTGTAGGGGAGTTACAGTAGATTTTCACCCATTCTGTTTTCTATTTTTTATTGCTTAATACCTATAATGCCATAAAAAAATAGCTTTATTTAATCTTTTTAAGTTTAGATCTTTTTAACTTTTAATCTTTTTAACACTAGATTTATTCCGCCATATAACTTATCTCTGATACAAAATCTTCTTGATGTTTTTTATAGTAGTGATTCTTCACATTTATGTCGCATAGTAGGTTGATCTACCTACATAAATATGAACCTACCTTTTCATTTTGTTAATAACAGCAATGTTCAGAGACCCTAAAAGCCAGTTTCATATACTTCCCTTTGGAAAATGCTTTTTTTTTTTTTCCTGCATTCATTGCTTCACAGAGCAGTGTTTTGAAGTAGATGTTAAATTTTCCTTTCAAACAGATCTTAGATATTTGAGTATCTGTTTAGCATTGAAAAGGTATACTGACTGTGATACTTAATTTTTGTCACACAGGGCCTCAAAAATAAGACTGTGACTGAAGGTGAGTCTGTGACTCTGGAGTGCCAAATATCTGGTCATCCTCAGCCTACAGTGACGTGGTACAGGGAAGACTACAAAATTGAGAGCTCAATGGACTTCCAGATCACTTTCAAAGCAGGACTTGCTCGCCTTGTGATTCGTGAAGCCTTTGCAGAGGACAGTGGAAGATTTACCTGCACTGCCACCAATAAGGCTGGGAGTGTCAGCACTTCCTGCCACTTACATGTGAAAGGTAAGTGTATTTATAGAATCATAGAATTGTTAAAGTTGGAAAAGACCTTTGAGACCTTTGAGAGCATTGATTTCAATCAAAACTTCCAAGTTCATCATTAAACCATATCCCTAGGTGCCACTTCTACATGTCTTTTAAATACCTCCAGGGTAGAAAAGGTATTTAAAAGTCAGCCCCAGATGACTCATGGGCTACTTGTTCCTTGCTTGATAACCCTTGACAGCCTAAAGAGACCTAAAGAAAGGTTTGTTTATATTCAAACTAAACCTCCATTGGTGCAACTCAAGGACAGTCCCTCTTGTCAAAGTAGGAAGTTAATAATTTTGTTAACTGTATATTGCTTGTAATGTATCTTGGACATTTAAAACATATGGTTTGAGATGTGTTCTGGGGTTATTAGATAAAAGGGATGTCAGAATATGAGGAAAAGGCTGATAACTACATATTCTTTTTATGTGAACTGAACTCAATGCTTAATGCCTATTAAGGCATTTTAAAATCCACTTTATCAAATTTGCCTTTTAGTTACTGAAGAAACTGAGACTCGAGAAACCATTTCTGAGAAGGCTGTTACAGAAGAGAAACGGTAAAGTTACTTTTCTAAACAGACTGCTCCTATTGCAGTCATTACATTCTTGCATTCTGTTTCATGAGAGCTTCAGACATCAGCTCACTTACCTGCACTGAAATCTTATTTCAGCTATGTGGAGACAAAGGACATTGTAATGGAAGATGTCTCTGCTGCAGCAGAGGAAGTATCGGGAGAACCCATACCTCCTTTCTTCATAAGAAAACCCATGGTACATAAATTAATTGAAGGTGGGAGCATTATTTTTGAATGCCAAGTAGGGGGCAACCCAAAGCCACATGTCTACTGGAAAAAAGGCGGAGTTCCTCTCACGACTGGCTACAGGTACTGTGAATACATTGCCCAAAATCCATCTTAAAATAATTTTTATGCATATTTAATTGGCGATGTCATAATTTGATTTCCTCAGTTATGCTGAGCCAAATAACTTCCTGATTTCTGTGAAATAAATTATTTCTTAATGTAAAATTATAGGCTCATGTCTTAATGTGTGACTTTAAAAGGTCATTAAGTTTTAAAATATAAATATTCAAAAGACTGTAAAAAATATATATATACTCATATGTTATACTTATAAACAATTCAGGAAGAAGTTTTGTATTTGTTTTACTGTGTGTGTGCAATATTTGCATTCTCTCTAGGTAAGTCTTGTCTGTAGAAAGCAACATACTTTCTAGCTGAGAAAAAATATTACATTTGTGGCATTCTTGAAATGATATGATGACCCATACTAGGACAAACTGTGTGCACACAGAACATACCATTATACTGTGTCTGATAACTAGACCTCTGATATTTCAGTACTGGTGTTTGGAACCTATTTATTTCGTGACAACAAAAAGACCAGTTTTCTACTTTCAGCAGGGTTATTTTTCATATGCTACTCTGTATGCTCATTCATTCAGTGAGAATTGCCTGTAAAAGTTTCTCTTTTTGTGCCTTGTACAAGTTAGGAGTGTGTCTAACTGTAACAAAAAGCAAATCAACTAAAAATTCTGTCCAGAATTATAGAGACTTTTTACTTTTATGTTTTCTATAGATACAAAGTGAGTTACAAAAAAGAAACCGGGGAATGCAAACTTGAAATTTCCATGACTTTTGCCGACGATGCCGGAGAATACACTATTGTTGTTCGTAATAATCTTGGAGAAGCTTCTGCAACGGTCTCCTTACTAGAAGAAGGTACATTTTAGATTAAGGAAATGGGAACAATATTTCTTAAAATTAACTTTCAAATGGCAAAAATTATTTTAAATTGTGCTGCAAATTCTTTGCAGCTTAGTTTATTTAGTTCAAGGAACCTAAAGGAAGATCTAGTGGCTCTGTTTCTGCAAGACAAAATATCTGACATCAGGCCCTTGAAGTTTGTACTTGTTTTCTCCATTCAGCCCAGTGAAAACCAAAAAATTTATCAATATTAATCTGTTCTCAATTCTTAGCTGATTACGAAGCCTACATAAAATCGCAACAAGAAATGATGTACCAAACTCAAATGACTGCATACGTACAGGAACCTAAAGTGGCTGAGGTAGCCCCACCCATTTCCTATGGCGACTTTGAAAAAGAGTATGAGAAAGAACAAGCTCTAATTAGGAAGAAAATGGCAAAAGATACAGTGATGGTCAGAACTTTTGTGGAAGAAGAGGTATGTCTATCCCTCCATACTAATTTTGGGTACCAACATTTTACTGTACAAATAATTTATTTGCAAGGTCCTTATTTGACACAGAAAACTAATTTCATGGTATTGCTTTTCTTTATAGGAATTCCATATTTCTTCTTTTGAAGAAAGACTTATCAAGGAAATTGAACTCAGAATTATTAAGACTACCTTACATGAACTTCTCGAAGAAGACGGAGAGGAGATGATGGTTGATATTTCTGAATCTGAAGCTGTAGAAGCAGGATTCGATTTAAGATTAAAGAACTACAGAACCTTTGAAGGGACAGGAGTTACCTTCCATTGCAAGACATCTGGATATCCATTGCCAAAGGTACCCCAAATCTGTATAACTTTTTTTTTTTTTTGTAAAAAATTTGATGCTTTACTTGAAAAAAATCCCTTAACATCTCATTGTCAGACATTCTACATTATGCATAGGAAACAGTGACTTTCAAAAGAAATCCAGTCTTATGGTTTGATATGAAGCTGAATTTTCCTTTTGTCCCTTAATAGAATAGAGTTAGGTTGGTTAGCCAGTTCAGAAGTAGGTTGGATTTACCAATTAAGTTGGTCTTGATTCTGAGTATCTCTGAGGTAGCCCAGACCAGTGGGGAACACAATAGCAGTCCAGTTGAGATTACTTTGCTCTTCATCAAAATGGGCTCTATATCCATTTCTAGCTCCAGAACTTGTCTTTCAGGTTGCTATTTAACCATCTTACACTAGTCTCACCTATTTCAAGTAAAAATGTTAATCTTTGACACATATATGTGGGCTGTTTTCCAACCGAAAACCAGCAAGTTGTAATATCCTATTTTCACTAGTCATTAGTGGATCTTTGTCTTTAGGAGAGCTCACATAGCAATCTACTGTTTCTTTCCATGCAGGTGGCATGGTATAAGGATGGCAAACGTATAAGACACGGAGAGCGCTACCACATGGAACTGCTGCAAGATGGCAGTGCCACTCTGCGATTACCTGTTGTTTTACCTGAAGATGAAGGAATTTATACTGTCTTTGCTAGTAATATGAAAGGAAATGCCATTTGCTCAGCAAAACTCTATGTTGAGCCAGTTGCACCTACAGCAACTCCAGGTTATATGCCAGGACCTGAAGTTATGAGAAGATATAGGTAGGTATACAATAATATAATTTTATGAGACTGATCTGCTGTGATAGTCCAAAAGCTCATTACATAGCAGTTAAATAAGCTTAAGCTGTTGGAGTTTGCACACCTCTAGAAAAGTTCTAAATGCTGTTTTCATGACTCATATAGATTTATGTGCTAACTTTTTGTCTGGTTTTCCCATTTAATAAGCAATGCATTTCCCAGAGTACAATTCATGTGCATTTCCAGCCATGGTATCAGATTTATAAGCTCAATAGCCATATCTGTTTGTTAAAGTACTCACATTTTTGAAAAATTATCTTCTGCACTTGGAGTTTTAGTGTGGTGTGCAAGAACTTTCTCCTGCCCTTGAAATAGCTGTATTTCTATGACAGAAAAATTAAGCATTGCCCTGTCCTGTGTTCAGTCTCCATACACATACACCCATGCACAAACGTACACAGGATTGCACTGTACTATCTGTGCACTATCCAAAACCCAAAAATTTCCATGGCCATATTGTGTCCTAAAACTACCCACCTCTAAAACTCCTAAAGAAAATTGACTACAAATAAAAATTAATTTTTTCCTAATTTCTCACATAGATAAATTGGTCAAACTCTTTAAAACAAATTGTGAGAAAGGCAAAGGTTGAAATCTGTTTGTCATGTCAGTCCACTGCTATATGACATTGCCATACACATCTGTCTTATCTCTTCCTTCCAGGTCTATCTCTCCACGGTCTCCAAGCCGGTCTCCTGCCCGCAGCTCTCCTTCTCGTTCTCCTGCCCGGAGATTAGAAGAAACTGATGAAGGGCAGCTAGAGAGACTATATAAGCCAGTTTTTGTGCTGAAACCAACATCATTTAAATGTTCACAGGGGCAGACAGCAAGATTTGACTTAAAAGTTGTTGGCAGACCTATGCCAGAGACATACTGGTTCCATAACGGTACATCAGCCTCATTTTCATGAAGAAATAATGTTTAAAAATGTTTTTTATGTCTCATTGAGACTGTCTTGATTGCAACTGTTTTCTTTTCATCTGTATCTGCAGGCCAACAAGTTATTAATGACTACACCCATAAAATAGTGATTAAAGAAGACGGTACCCAGTCATTGATCATTGTTCCTGCAATGCCTGAAGACTCTGGAGAATGGGCTGTCATTGCTCAGAACAGGGCAGGCAAAGCTTCAGTCTCAATGACACTGACTGTAGAAGGTATCTTCTGTATTTTCTATCATATTATGTATATCATGATATTTTTAGCAGTGTTTCTTATTTAAATAAGTGTTTCTTATTTAAAACCATGGCTTTTTCATTTCTTCTTGTGATAACATACACTTGCTCTTCCAGCTAAGGAAGACCTAGTCAGACCACACTTTGTGGAAAGGTTGAGAAATGTCAGCGTGAAGGAGGGCTCTAGACTGGAGATGGCAGTGAAAGCTACTGGTAACCCTAATCCTGACATTGTATGGCTCAAGAACAGTGACATCATTGTGCCTCATAAATACCCCAAAATAAAGTAAGGATTTTTATTACATTTAAATCTATTGAAATTTAAATTTTATTTAAATTTTGTTTAATTTTCTTTAAAATACTTTATATAAGTTGGGTAGTAAATAACCACCATCCTGCAAAATGCTTCCTGTAGTTTCACAGAAGGGATTCACTTGGGGCTTTTGCATTGCAGCAAGGATTACCGATATAAAGTATCCTGTGGGATTCACTCAATATTTTTCCAGCCTGAGTTTTCATATAGTTTCTAAAAGCCATCAGAGAGATTTTACTGAACTTTTCTCTGTATCTGATTTTGAAGACCTCTGCAGGCAAAACTACCACAGAATTTAAGACTGGTTTTTATTCATCCTCTCGGTTTGATTCTTAGGCACTTCACTCCCAAACATAAATAAACATAAACAAACATAAACAAAATGTCTATTACCTCCAGGGACTTGCCCTTGGAGGCTTTGAACTAATTTGGAAGAAGGGCAAAAATTAATAACAAAGAAGGGAAAAATAGTTAATATTTTTTTTTTCATATTTCAGGATTGAGGGAACCAAAGGGGCAGCTGCCCTTAAAATTGAATCTACTGCCAGGCAAGATGCTGCATGGTATACCGCTACTGCTATCAATAAAGCTGGACGGGACACTACCCGCTGCAAAGTAAATGTTGAAGTTGAACACACAGAACCTGAACCAGAAAGGAAATTAATAATTCCAAAAGGAACTTATAAAGCCAAGGAGATTGCAGCACCAGAGTTAGAACCTCTCCATCTGCGCTATGGTCAAGAGCAATGGGAGGAAGGAGATCTCTATGACAAAGAAAAGCAACAGAAACCATTTTTTAAGAAGAAGCTCACATCTTTAAGGCTCAAACAGTTTGGACCAGCACACTTTGAATGCAGGCTTACACCAATTGGTGACCCAACCATGGTGGTGGAGTGGTTGCATGATGGCAAACCCTTGGAAGCAGCTAACAGACTCCGCATGATCAACGAGTTTGGTTACTGTAGCCTGGACTATGGAGTAGCCTATTCCAGAGACAGTGGAGTGATTACCTGCAGAGCAACTAACAAATATGGTACAGACCACACATCTGCTACTCTGATCGTGAAGGATGAGAAGAGTCTTGTGGAAGAATCCCAGCTGCCAGAAGGCAAAAGGGGACTCCAGCGAATTGAAGAGTTAGAAAGAATGGCCCACGAGGGTGCTCTACCTGCTGTTGCACTGGACCAAAAGGAAAAACAAAAACCAGAAATCGTTTTGGTTCCTGAACCTGCAAGAGTCCTTGAAGGTGAAACAGCACGATTCCGCTGCCGTGTGACTGGCTATCCTATGCCCAAGGTCAACTGGTACCTCAATGGACAGCTCATCCGTAAAAGCAAAAGGTTTAGACTCCGTTATGATGGAATCTACTACCTGGATATTGTGGATTGCAAATCATATGACACAGGAGAGGTAAGAGTCACTGCAGAGAATCCAGAAGGCTTTATTGAACATAAGGTGAAACTTGAAATCCAGCAGAGGGAAGACTTCAGATCTGTTCTTCGTCGTGCTCCTGAACCCAAACATGAGCCTGTAGTTACAGAACCTGGGAAACTTCTGTTTGAGGTACAGAAGGTAGACAAACCTGCAGAGGCAACAACCAAAGAAGTGGTGAAGCTGAAAAGGGCTGAAAGAATCACTCATGAAAAGCTTTCAGAGGAATCTGAAGAGCTGCGTAGTAAATTCAAGCGCAGGACAGAAGAGGGCTACTATGAAGCCATTACAGCTGTGGAACTTAAATCTCGCAAAAAAGATGAATCATATGAAGAAATGCTAAAAAAGACAAAAGAAGAACTTCTTCACTGGACCAAAGAGATCCCAGAGGAAGAGAAGAAAGCACTTCCTCCTGAAGGCAAAATCACCATTCCAACATTCAAACCAGAGAAGGTGGAGCTTAGTCCAAGCATGGAGGCTCCCAAGATACTTGAACGAATTCAAAGCCAGACTGTAGCCCAAGGAACAGACGTACACTTCCGTGTAAGAGTGGTGGGAAAACCTGATCCTGAATGCCAGTGGTTCAAAAATGGTGTTCAGATTGAAAGGACTGATCGTGTGTACTGGTACTGGCCTGAAGATAATGTTTGCGAATTAGTTATCAGAGATGTGACTTCTGATGATTCCGCCAGCATCATGGTGAAAGCAGTCAATATAGCTGGTGAAACTTCTAGCCATGCTTTCCTGTTAGTACAAGGTAATTTCAATTATTTTACTCATCCTACTGCTCGTCATAGTGTGTTAAGTCTGTTTGGTCAGTGCACTGTTGATTGTTATATATTGTTTTGCAGCCAAGCAGTTAATCAGCTTCACCCAGAAGTTGCAAGATGTTGTTGCTAAAGCAAGAGACTCCATGGCAACATTTGAATGCGAAACATCAGAGCCCTTTGTCAAAGTGAAATGGTTTAAGGATGGAATTGAAATTCATTCTGGAGACAAGTACAGGATGCACTCAGACAGAAAGGCTCACTTTCTTTCCGTATTAACAATTGAGATGTCTGATGCAGATGACTACAGCTGTGCACTGGTTGAAGATGAATCCGTAAAAACCACTGCAAAGCTTACTGTTGAGGGTAAGAAGCATACAACTCAGGACCATGCCATACTATTAAAGTGAAATCAGCTTCAGAAAGAAATAAAAGTATTTAAGCAGACATCTAACACCCTTAGAGACGTGGAGCTGCTTTCATACTTTTGGAATCCAGTATGAAAGTTTAGAGATGTATTTATGTAAAATAGTTACACTGTATATCTATATATATTCCCTTAGGTTCATTTAATGATTTTTTTTTCTTCAGGAGAATCTAAACAAGCTTATTTACAAATGTAATTATTTGCCTTTAGGTGCTGCAGTTGAGTTTATTAAAGAACTTGAGGATGCTGAAGTGCCAGAATCCTTCTCAGCCGAACTTGAATGTGAGGTTTTCCCAGAAGATGCAGAGGGGAAATGGTATCATGGTGATGTTGAACTCACTTCTAGTCTTAAATATGTGATTGCATCCCGCCGTGGTCGCCAAACCCTCACTATTAAAGATATTAATAAAGATGATCAAGGAGAATATAGTTTTGTTGTTGATGGAAAAAGGACTCAATGCAAACTGAAGATGAAGCGTAAGCATTTCTTACATTGTCTATATACTATTATCATTTTTCTATTTTAGAATAGAAATAGAATGTATTATAGAATGCATTATAGCTGTATCATTGTATCCCAGAATGCTTTAATGTTCAATAATGTCCAATGTTCTGCCTCCTATAAGTATTAATTAACTTCATTTAATTCCACAGCTCGTCCGATGGCAATTCTTCAAGGACTTACTGATCAAAGAGTCTGTGAGGGAGATATCGTGCAACTTGAAGTCAAAGTCTCCCTAGAAAATGCAGAGGGTGTCTGGATGAAAGATGGCCAAGAAATTCAGTCAAGTGATCGTATTCATATTGTGCTGGATAAACAATCACATATGTTGCTCATAGAAGATGCCACAAAGGAAGATAGCGGAACTTACTCTTTTAGTGTTCCTGATCTTGAGCTGTCAACCACTGGACAGATCACAGTGTACAGTAAGTCACTATGATGATTTTGAAGGTGTGCTTGATTTTTGGCTCCTTTAGGATTACTTTTTAAAGACATAGTTTTTCTCACAATTAATATTTTTGTATTCACAGGTGTGGAAATAGTGGTTCCTCTAGAAGATCTTCATGTAATTGAAGGAACAAAAGCCATCCTCGAATGCAAAGTTTCAGCACCTGATGTGTCCTCCTCAAAATGGTACCTAAATGATAATCAAATAAAGCCTGATGAACGTGTGCAAGCTGTATGTAAAGGTGCCAAACAGAGGCTAGTGCTCACCAGAACCCATGCATCAGATGCAGGACGCTATAAGCTAATGGTTGGCAAAGTGGAAACAAGCTGCAATGTCACAGTTGAAGGTTGGTGTCTTTTAAGAAGCACAATTCTTTGTGAAATGATTTTTTTTTAAAACAAAACTAGTGGAAACAACTAATAATTTTGTAATTTATTCTTTTTATAGAAATTGAGATTATTAGAGGTCTTCATGACATTACCTGCACTGAAACACAGAATGTGTCCTTTGAGGTCGAGCTCTCCCATTCAGGGATTGATGTAATCTGGCATTTCAAAGGCCAGCCCATAAAGGCCGGTCCTAAATATAAAATTGAAGCACGTGGCAAAATATATAAATTAACAGTGGTGAAGATGATGAAAGACGATGAAGGAGAATATGTCTTTTATGCTGGAGAGAAGAAAACATCTGGGAAGCTTGTAGTAGCAGGTTAGTAGGGTTAAAGTCCAAGGTTTTTATTTCACTGTGATTTAGAAATTACCCAATGGACTTGTAGCAATAGTGCTGTTTCAGTGGGAGTTTGTCTTTAATTTATCCTTTTTAAAAATGTTCTCCTTGCCTTTCCCTTTATCTTTTGTGATTAGTATAATTTGAATTCTCAAATCTGTTGTGTTAATATATTTTGCTAGATCAGAAGCACAGTTTGAAACGCTGTATTATGCTTTTGATGTAATTACTGTAAAAAAGAGGTTTTGTCCTGTGTGTTCTCAGTATACCTGTGCTGATGATATAACAAAAGAGGATAGAAATGTTCAGGTGATATTTTATTATTTTTTTATTTATTATTTATTTATTTATTTGTAATGTTCAGGTGATATTTTATTCCTGATTTTTCCCAGAGCTCAGAATGCCTATGGGCATGCTGCAAATCAGGGCAAAGAATTCCAGCATCTACTTTTTATTTCTGTATGGGGGCAAGCTGAACAGCAACACAACAAAAGAACATTTTCTTCCCAACAGGCGGTGCCATTTCAAAGCCTCTCAGTGACCTGACTGTGGCCGAGTCCCAGATAGCTGTTTTTGAATGTGAGGTGGCAAATCCTGAATCAGAGGGCCAGTGGCTACAAAATGGTAGACCATTAGCTACGACAGATCAGTACCATGCTGAATCTGACGGTGTAAAAAGAAGGCTTGTTATCCCTGTGACGAAACTGGAGGATATGGGGGAATACAGCTATGAAATAGCAAGCTCAAAGACATCTGCCAAACTGAAGGTCGAAGGTCAGTATTTTTTATAACTAACTGATGTCTTTGAGATTTATTCCAGCATCACTCACTATGTCTCGTACCAGGCCTTAAGACACAAGCAAAATAAAATAAATCATATAAAAAACCCCAAACAAACAAAACCCTGAGCCTATCCAACAATGGCAAAAACTAAACAAGCAAATCCCCAATCAACCAACCAACAAAACAGACAAATAAAACCCCAAAAACCTCAGAAACCAAACATTTCTCATGGATACTATGAGTAAAGCTTTCATGCTGTGTTCCCAGCACACCACTTTGCTGGAAACCGTATGAATTATTATATGTATAAAATGAAGCACCACCATTCAGTTTTATTAAAATTATTATATTTACTATAGGCTTTAATTTTGATCTATTTTGTCAAGTATTTTTTTTCTATTTTTTTCCTTTTTTTTCTAGCTGTTAAGATAAAGAAAACACTAAAGAACTTGACTGTGACAGAATCACAGGAGGCAGTTTTCAGTGTAGAACTGACCCACCCGGATGTGAAAGGAGCTCTATGGATTAAAAATGGTGTTGAACTTGAATCAAGTGACAAATATGAAATAACAGTGAAAGGAACTGTTCACACACTGAGAATCAAACACTGTGTTGTCACTGATGAGTCTGTTTACAGCTTTAAACTTGGAAAAATAGGAGCAAATGCCAGACTTCATGTGGAAAGTAAGCCATTCTGGTTTGAATATTTGCTGTAGTGTGTGTTTTGAAACTCAAATCATATACAGTGCTGAGTATTGCTAACTTTTTTCCTCAAGCTGTCAAGATCATCAAAAAGCCAAAGGATGTGACTGCTTTGGAAAATGCTGTTGTCTCATTTGAACTGAGTGTCTCCCATGATACTGTACCAGTCCGGTGGTTCCATAAAAATATAGAGCTTAAACAAAGTGATAAATACAAGATGATCTCTCAGAGGAAAGTTCACAAGCTTATGCTGCATAACATATGTCCTGATGACGCTGGGGAATACACAGCTCTTGTTGGGCAAATCGAGTGCAAAGCAAAACTGTTTGTGGAAAGTAAGTATTGTAAGAAAGTAATTATATGAATTGTTACACCAACACTGAGCAACTTGACCTGACACTGCATAGCCTGTTAACATTGGTTTTTTGCAGTCTTCCAAACATGCTAACTTTCAGAAAATTCTCTCTTTTTTCCCTATCCTTTTAGGCATACACATCACAAAGACCATGAAAAATATTGAGATCCCTGAGACCAAAACTGCCTCTTTTGAATGTGAAGTTTCTCATTTCAATGTGCCAGCTGTCTGGTTGAAGAATGGTGTGGAGATTGAAATGAGTGAAAAGTTCAAAATAGTTGTCCAAGGGAAACTCCATCAGCTCAATATAATGAACACAAGCAGTGAAGACTCTGCAGAATACACTTTTGTCTGTGGAAATGATAGAGTCAGTGCAACCCTGACTGTAAAACGTATGTAAAAGGTGTTTTTTAACACTAAATAGCCTCAGTAGCATTCTTTAAAGAGATATAGAAGTGGTGAACTTGAAAGTCAGATCCTGTGTTCTTCTTTTTGGGCCAGTATGCCTAAATGCCAGGTCACCACAAGAGACCAAATTTGGATTCTTATGTCATTCAGTAGTTGTGGGACATTTAATTGTATACTGATTCTGAACACAAAGTGTACTTTTTAATATTTCCAAAATCATCTTAAAGAAGTTGAAGCATCTCTAATCTGTTTAATATGCATTTAAAATAAAGTAAAACAGAATGGAAAAAAAGCAAACCATGTCCATTCCTTTCCTTTTAGCCATCCTAATTACCTCCATGCTAAAAGACATCAATGCCGAAGAGAAAGATACAATAACTTTTGAAGTTACTGTTAATTATGAAGGCATCTCATATAAATGGTTAAAGAATGGAGTAGAAATAAAGTCGACTGATAAATGTCAGATACGAACAAAGAAGCTTACACACTCCCTCTCCATAAGGAATGTGCATTTTGGTGATGCAGCAGAATATACTTTTGTTGCTGGAAATGCAGCTTCATCAGCCACTTTATATGTGGAAGGTATTTGCTCCCTTTATTTGTATGTTTAGTGATTTCTTGGGCTTAAATAATATCACAGCACTCATTCTACATTTTTCTGCCCCAGCTCGTCACATTGAGTTTAGGAAGCATATTAAAGACATCAAAGTGGTAGAGAAGAAGAGGGCTATTTTTGAATGTGAAGTTTCAGAACCTGACATTCAGGTCCAGTGGATGAAGGATGGGCAAGAACTCCAGATTGGTGATAGGTAAATTATTGCTTGTACACCATATTAATTTTTGGTGTGTGTTTTCCCCCAGGAAATCTCTAGCTCACTTTCTTTTCTGATCTGCTCAGGATGAAAATTCAGAGAGAGAAGTATGTCCATCGTCTCATCATTGCTTCCACAAAGATGTCTGATGCTGGTCAGTACACTGTAGTAGCAGGTGGAAACACATCCAGTGCCAATTTGATAGTGGAAGGTCGTGACATTCGTATCAAAAGTGCCCAGAAAGATATTCAGGTAAGGCCTATACAGATGAATAAATATTTCATAGCTTTTTCACTCAAAGAATAATGCAAGGGAAGAGCAACAACATCTAACCAGAGTCATAGCACAAAATTCTCTAATCATAAGGTTAGAAGCACAAAAATCTGTAATCATAAGGTCAGAACCTTCACCTAAGAAACTGGAAAGTGAGACCAGAGGAAAAACCAATATTGCTTCTATTATTTATTCTTTTTCAAAGGTCATTGAGAGACAAAGAGCTGAAATTGAATTTGAAGTCAATGAAGATGACATTGAACCACAGTGGTACAAGGATGGTATTGAGATCAACTTCCAATATGAGGAAAGATACAAGTATGTGGTGGAAAGGAGAGTCCATCGAATGAGCATCTTTGAAACCACTTACTCTGACGCTGGGGAATATACCTTTGTTGCAGGACGGAACAGGAGTTCTGTTATGCTTTATGTGAATGGTATGTGGCCCCACAACCAATGATGTGGCTCTATTTATTACTCAGTGGTTTTCTGATTTTTATATGGCTTCTCTGGAATTCTAACTCTTCTAAGAAGAAAAAAATTCCAAGAGATCATTTGGAACACTACCAAATTCCTCATGTACATAGATGTTTCTTGCCCTACTGAAGTAGCTGGCTAGTGGATGAAAATACCATAGCGGTTCTTTTCCCATGATATTTACTTTGGCCAGAAAATTCTTGAATCTAAATAAAACTACTTTGTTCATATGGACAGATAAGCCTTTTCAGAGTGATCAACATAACAATTATTGGACACGTTTTGCCAGAAGCCCTTACCCCAACACAGCTAATTATGTTAAGGCACTTGCTGCTAAATCATTCCCCCTGTATCAAGGATGAGGACATATTTTCATAGACGCAAAAGATTAGGAATAATAAGGGTTTGTTTTGCTTGTTTAATTCTTTGCCGATAGTTTTCAATCACTAATAATATAAATAATGAGATTTCTCTCTCTTTCCTTCTTTCTCCTGTCTCTCTTTGCCACCTCACTTTCCCCCAATTTTCAGCTCCAGAGCCACCCCAGATTATTCAGGAGCTAGAGCCAACTACTGTGGAGTCTGGCAAACCTGCTCGCTTTTGTGCTATTGTATCAGGCAAACCCCAGCCCAAAATTTCCTGGTACAAAGATGATCAACAGCTTTCTCCAGGTTTCAAGTGCAAATTTCTTCATGATGCACAAGAATATACTCTATTGCTGATTGAAACTTTCCCTGAAGATGAAGCAGTGTACACCTGTGAAGCAAAAAATGACTACGGAGTAGCTACAACTTCAGCTTCACTTTCAGTTGAAAGTGAGTTTCCCATGATCTTAACAACGTTTGTGAAGTTAAATTTTCATTCTTCATCTTTAAAAATCACTTTTTTCTCTTTTTCTTTAGTTCCAGAAGTTGTCTCTCCTGAGCTAGAAATGCCAGTGTATCCACCTGCTGTGGTAATACCACTACGTGATACTGTTACATCTGAGGGACATTCTGCTTGTTTTCAGTGCAGAGTTACTGGAACAGGTGGGTTTGATGACATCTTATATGTCCCCATCTCTCAAAATTTTTCATCTTGAACTCAGAAAAAAATTCAGCAATATATGTGCTCAGATCAGTCTTCCCCTAGAAGTACAGATATTTGATACAAACACGCAGCCAAGTGTTACTCAAGTTTCAGTCAAAGCATGGAAGTTTTAAACTGTCATAGACATATTAAGTGTTTCTAAACAGATCTGTGTATCATAATTTATCATAGTTTATCTTTGGAAACTTCTCAGCATTTTAAATGCTAACTGATGTTGGAAATCTGTCAGTGAGTAAGACAGATTTTCATGGGAGAAAAGCAGTACTGCGTCAAATGAACATGACAGAATTTCTGGACACACATTGCCATGTCCTTAATTACACAAACTGACTGAAACTGTGACTCAACCTTTCTCCTAATATTTCTAAGCATCATTCAGCAAACACTAAACTCTGGTTACTTTCTTTATCCTAGCATAAAAAGTGTTTGCTAATTGTTAAGCGTAGATGTTACTTGAATAAGTTTTTTGATTTAGATACATAGAATATCATTCTGCAATTAAAATATCTTTGTCCTTAACACACAGTCAAATAAAGCTACTTTTCTTCACTTAGCAAATGGACTTGAATATGACTATTAGAAAAATATTCACATAGTAAACTGCAAATTAAGATCCCGTTCACAACCCAAAGACTTTAAAATTATTTCAAGATAAACAAAACTCCAAATTTAAAAACAATCCTATGTGACAGTGCTATAAAAATTAATCTAAATTGGTTATACACATATACATGCAAATATAATTTGCATTACCATCCCTTGAAATAAAACTCCAAGGATTTACAGGAAATTTGATTCTGCTTCAGAAAATATTTTTAGAAATATTGGCCCACGCTTTGTGCAATACATGCTAGTGTAATTTTTTTTAATATAACTGTATTTATGTGAGTGTGGAAGCTGCACTTACAGCACAGAATATAAGGATCCTTTCATCTAGATCAGCCATCATAGAATCATTGAGGTGGGAAAAGACCTCAAAGATCATCAGGGCCAACTGTTAACCCAGAACTGCCAAGTCCAGAAATAAACCATAACATAAAGCTAACTGCCAAATCTACATGGCTTTTAAATACCTCCAGGGACTGTGACTCTACCACTTCACTGGGCAGCCTGTTGCAATGCTTGAAAACCCTTGCAATAAATAAATTTTTCCTATTGAAAATCTCCTTTGAATACTCTATCCAAATGCATTTGTATACTTCTCAGTTGTGTTATAAAAACCTTTTATATTAGATTAGGTTACACATGATTGCACGTACAGTTGTTTAATGGTAGGCATTGTGCAACTGGCAATTGAAAACCCTCCTCTGATAACAGTAATAGCGCACTACTTGAGTAACAACACATGATTCATGATGTAGTACTGAGACAGATGAAGAGAAAAAGCTAAAATCTGCTTGAATTCACTCCTATGTCTACAAGAATCTATACAAGTAATACATTTTATGTAGGAATATATAAATCTTTCTTGAGAAATATGACAAGTAGTATTTGCAACAAAAAGATGGAAGGTGCTGTGCTTAGCAGAAGAATGATCTGTTTTAATTTCTTAACCTGACTAACTCAAGATATTTTATAGCTGTTTAATCATGCAACTGTAGCAAAATCACATTTTAAAAAAAGATAATTTCTCTGACTTTAGCCATACCAAAATATTTTTACATTTTTACACTAACAGACTCAAGGAAGAATGATTTTTACTCAATAATATATCAGCACCAGAATCAGTTTTCCCATACAAATATTTCCAGTGCACAAATCAAACCTAAAGCAACAAGCACTTTCCACTCATCATACTTTAACAGAATAGTACAAGGCACATTTAAATGTAGATATTTGAGTTTGATACTTTTGAAAGACATAAATATAAAAATAGCATTTACTTGCTAGTATAATATCATAACTTAGACCTTTTTGTTTTCTGTCTTTTGCCTGAGCAGATCTGAAAGTGTCTTGGTACAGCAAAGAGAAAGAGATCAAGCCATCACGGTTTTTTAGAATGACTCAATTTGAAGACACTTTCCAGCTGGAGATTGCTGAGGCTTATCCAGAGGATGAAGGGATCTATACCTTCGTGGCAAGTAATTCTGTAGGCCAAGTGACCAGCACTGCTACCTTGAAGTTAGAAGGTACACTGTGCCATTAAAGAAGTTGTCTTGTTCAGGTCATGTTCCAATAATCATCTTAATATACACTGATACCGATATGTGAGTTGTTGTCTGTCCTGTTGTCTTTTAACTCAATTAATTGCCACCATTTACAATGTCCACAGCATACAGTTATGTCTCCAAAATATGTCATGAACAGAAAAAAGTATTTCAAGATGTTTTTTTCATGTTCCATGCCCCCTTTTCATCTACTCCAGTCTTAAAACCTGTCATGCACCAAAGATGGTAAAAACCTTCTTTCTAATGGAATGTTTTTGCTTACACATTCTTTGATTTGCCTTGTGAAGACAATCTAGTAGTTTTTGTATGAAATAAATTACTTTGAAGGTTTTGAAAAACATCTCAAATAGAGGTATGTAACAGGTACTTGGACAACTGAAAAGAAATACTTTACATTCATATGAATTACTTAAACATTGATCAAAATTTTAGAGCCGAAATACGGTTTGGAGAATTTGCTGTTCTATATTGTTCTTGATATTATTTAACCATAAATAATTTGTTTTCTTTTTGCAATAGATTTTATAAATGATGAATGAAAATAATTCATGCTGTTAAGTTGCGAGTTAGAAAAAAAACTTGATTGAGAGAGAAAATTCATTGTAGTGTAGGGTAAGAAATTAAAAGTTGGCATGCTTCTTTTCAGGATTTAAAAATGTTGAAGATGTTACATCAGAGCCCCCTTGGCATGTTTCTTCATCTGTTTCACTTAAGGAGGAATCTGTTGGCCAAAGGCCCACCTTTATCCAGCCTATTTCAAGCTGCAGGGTATGCAGCGGGGAATCAGTCAGATTTCAAGCTAGAGTCTCTGGCAGGCCCAAACCAAAAATCCAGTGGTTTCATAATCAACAACTCATGTTGCCAAAAAAAGACTTAGTTTTCCACTTTGATGAGTCTACAGGCACAGCTATACTGATAATAGTAGATGCTTTCTTAGAGCATGCTGGCCAATACTCTTGCAAGGCAAGAAATAGTGCTGGAGAAACTACTTGTACAGCTACACTTACAGTGACTGCAGAAGGTAAAGCCCCATTTTTACTTCAAAGGGATTCAATTTGTTGCATACCACACTTTTATGCTGTTACTAATTTTTTCTTTGTTTCACACCTTTTCTTTCACATCTAACTTTAATAGTACCCTCAGTAACCCAGACACTCTCATTTCTTGTCTTTAAGCTGTAACATTGGAAATTTTCAAGTATGTAACTCAATATAGGTAAAAAATAGAAATGCTTTAATGAAGGATTTTAAAACAAGTGATTTAGCAATCTTTATAGCAGTGACTGAGGTATTTTGCACTAATCCGTAAGGGAAAAAAAAAAAAAAAAGAAAAAAAAAATACCTCCTTTAAAAGTGCCATAAGTTTCCAATACTAAAATGGACCACTTTGGTGAAAGAAGAGAGAAGCACCAAGTATCAGCTGCATGACTAGCTTAGGCATCACTTGTCATTCATACCTGTGAATGGATAACTTCTGTGTCAACAGAGTAGTACGTCTGGCATGCTGTGTTTTCAAATGAAGATCATTCATTATCATCCTCCATGCTGTTTGATTTTGTTCAGAGCATGGCCCAGTAAAGTTCTTTAGATACTAATGTTGTTGTTTTTGTTACTTGATTACACAGTGCAAGCGCTAGATAGGCAAAGTTCTGGGAATGATGTAAAAGAGTCTATCCGGTCAGAGTCTATATCAGAACTTCATGTTTCTCCTCTCACAAAGAAGAACATTGAAACTTATCAAAAAGAATTTAAATCAGTGCAACAACCATCGCAGGAGTTGCGTGTACAGGTTTTTGAAAGTGTATCAGAAAGTTTGACCATGAAGGCTACATCAATTGAAGAAATTAAAGCCATGCACACCTCAGTTCTTTCTCAAACATCTCAGAGCACCAAAATCTCTATGACAACCTCTCAGGAAAAGAAAGATGTCCCTCCAAAGATTCTCTTGCAACTCAGAGACCTAACTGTGAAATGTGGTGACCCTGCTCAATTCATATGTGCCCTAGAAAATGAATTCTATGAGTTTCTTTGGGCCCACGAAGGTAAAAAGATAGAATTGTCTGAAAAATTGAAGATATCACAAAACGGAAACGTTCTTCTGCTTACAATCCTAAATGCCCAGCTGTCAGATCAAGGACTGTACAGTTGTACTGTGTATAATGACTATGGAGGCACAACAACTTCAGCAATACTAACAGTCAAAGGTGGTTATCTGACTTTTAACATTATCACTTACTTTTTGCAGCTTCATTATAACTGCCTAGAGATCATTCATTTTACCTTTATTATCAGTATTTAATTGAGAAAGCTCTAGTAATAATGCTCTGGGGTTTTTCCTCCACATTTACAGCTCTATTCTATAAGTGACATGTGCAGTACTGGGAAGTTGGTACTGTAACTTTCTGCCTCTTCCCATAAAGTCACAGATGTCTCAGGCTTTTTATTCCTCATATCCTTCATGACATGCAGAGAGATGTAAAGAAAAACAGGCTTGTAGGAATTTTTATATTTTGTTAATTCCTGAAGCAGGAGTTTAAGGAAGAAGAGAAAGCCAGATGCAATTTTGAATTAGATACCAGGTCATTTCTAGCTCCTGCATGTTTCCAACAAATCCAAGATTCTAATTCCAAAGTTAGCAATATAAGTTAATGTACTTGAAAGGATTAATGGGTGCTAGTATTGTATTACTACAATACTGAAGCATCTTCTACCTTTCACTCCTCCTAATATAGAAGTATTTACTTTTTGCTTAAACTCCTTCTACCTCTTCCTGACCTCCATGTATTAAAATGTTAGTAGTGTTACCACTAGTGAAGACCCAAAAATGTATTATCACCACAGGTGATAGTGTTTTTAATGAGTTCAAAGGAATCAAGACCAGAAAACTAAGATGAATAATGAAAAAGGCATTGACCCTCTTGATCTGGCTCTTAATTACTGAAACTTCTTTCTTCACTATAGAGCTGCCAAAAGCACTTTACAAAATTTTCTACGGCTACTTTCCAAATTAAGGCTCTAAATTGGAAGCAAAGATGTGCTTTTTTTTTAGTCACCATGGATCTAGACTTGGTCCCATGAGAGACCCACAGGCTTAACTGGTACCTAGAATTACCCTAACAGGAATAGAGCTCTTAAATGTGCCATCACTCATGTCCAATAGCACTGTTTTAGCACTAATATACGGCATATTCTATCAATACTAATTACTGTGTTTTCTCCCCATAATATCCCCGTAAGTATAAGGATGTTTTTTATTCCTGCAAAACATCTGACCTAATCCTTTTCCTAACTTTATTCTTACCTAGCAAAAGAAGCACAAGCCAAAGCAGTAACAAAAATTACTCTTGAATCAGATTCTAAAAGCTTTAAAGCAGCCAAAGATTGTCAGTTTAAAGCATCTGAAGTTAAGCAAGAGTCTTCAAAGAAAACCTCAAGCTTGTTTATATCTACATCCCAAAGACCACATGACACTGAGAAGCAAAGAAACAGAGTATACTATCCTGATGTTGTGCCATGTGAAGAGATCACAGAAACTGACGCCAAAGCACCAGAGTTTCTTGAAACTCTGCCTTCAGAAACCACTGTAAAAGAAGGAGATGATGTGTTTCTCTTTTGCATAATGAAAGGTGTGCCTACACCTTGCGTAGTCTGGCTGTGCAATCAGCTGATAGTTGAGGAGTCTGCACTGTGCTCCATAAAACATGATGGGCCGCTGTGCAGTTTAAGATTGTTGAAAGTTGGTCAGGACCACGAGGGTATATACAAATGCAGAATAGTTAATCCTGCAGGACAAGCCGAGTGCAGCACTCATCTGAAAGTGACAGGTTGGCAACTGCATGTTCCTTCCAAGTATCAATTCCTCATGCATAGCATCATAATTGCATTCCACTATATTCATTCCCTAGGAGATGATAAAGAATGAGACTATCTCATTAGTCTGTGGATTGTTGAATGTTTTCTTCAGGGATTCATGGCATGATAAAGGCATGTTGTTTTAGGAACTTTCCCCCACCCTGCAAAAAGAAAGCAAATCTTACAGAAAAACATACATTGCAAACAAGTTTGAAAATATTTGATTACTTTATTCTCAAAATTTATCAAGTGTTTGAATCGTTTGGCATGCATTTATGTGTGTGTGTGTACATGTGGATTTATGTCTATTTGCAAAACAGATTGGACGTTTCTACTATATAAAGTGTTGATTGGGACATTTAACAACTATAGCTCAAAAAATCTTTGTCTTTTTTATTCTAGCTCCTGAAAAAATTGTTCATGAGAAGCTAGAGGAAGAGGTTGAAATGGAAGTGAAAGGTACAATAATTAATGAGAATAATTATTACCAGTAATTAGTAATGTTGTTAAAAGGTTTTATCAGCTTCCATGAAGTGTCTGATGGGGAAAGACACACTATAAAGCATATTGGAACATGTTGCATGTTTGTTTTGATATGCAAAGGGTTACCTGCATTACAAGGTTATTTAAGTTTTAAAATATGTTTAAAACTTCAAATCTGTAATTGTGCAGCCATATTTTTAACTTTTACTTCATGCTTTGCAGCTGTTCACAGAGCTCTTATATGTTCAATTTCCTTTTGAATGCATGGAATCGTTTACTTCAGAAGGAAGTTATGCAAATCTTAATTGTATTACTTTTAAACAAGTTAGCAGCCTAACATTAATTGGTTCAATGGACACTACTGGATGGATAGATGAAGTATACTAGAGAGCATTTGTTGTTTAGGTTATGTGAAAGCTACACATTCCCATTGATTCCTCGCACTTTTTTTTACATACATTAATTCATCATTATACATCTCTTACCCTGGCTTGCAGATAGCATACGTGGTTCATGTTGCTTGCTTTTTTCCCCCCGTGCATAACACTGTGAAGTTAGTGGCTGTATTAGTTCGAATAAACGCCTTCTCATTTCATGTTACTTACTTTTTAAAAAATATATTTCAAACTATTTTTTCAATTGTTTGAACATATCTACAAACAGAGGGGTCAGAAAGGGCGTTTATTCTACTGTCTGCAAGTCAGGTAAGATTTTCTTCTTTGCCACCCAAAGACACACAGCTTTTCCAGGCAACAAAAACATATACGCAGAAGAACATGTTATTTTGAAATTCTTTTTTTGCTTGTTCAAGAAGACATTTCCAGTCTGAAGAAAGAACAGACAACGAACGATTTTCGTGTCAATCTTTAAAACAGAGCAAGGCGTTGCGTTTATTCGAACAAATATGGTGAGTGAATTACTTTTTTTTCCTGGGTGTGTGATGAAATCTGTTGCATGCCCATTTTTTATTTCAATATATTGCTACTTTTTTTACAACCAGGCGGTAGGCAGAGCGTGACATGTTGTAACCCAGTCTCCTCCTCTTGCAGAACAGCACAGCGCGGACTCCGAGGGACGTGGCACAGCGGCGGTGCTGGCTTGCCCCCAGAACCGTAAACCCACCTTCACACAGGGACTGAAGTGTAGGTCTGTCTTGGAGGGGGACCCGGCATTCTTCCGCTGCAAGCTGTTGGCATGCCCGGCGCCGCACATGGCCTGGTTCCACAACAACCGGCCCGTCCTGCAGGACTGCCGCAAGGTGATTCGCACCGAGAGCACGGAGCACACGCACTGCGCCAGCCTGGAGCTGCGGGACGTGCGGGAGCACGACGCTGGCAGCTACAGGGTATTTGCCATCAACAGCGAGGGCTCGGCCGAGTCCACCGCCTCGCTGCTGGTGGCCCGCAGAGGGGAGCGGCGGGGCCCGGCTGCGGCCGGGGGCGCAGAGCGGGTGCGGCAGGGCTGGGGCTGCCTGCTGCAGCAGCGCCGGGAGGAGCGCCTGCGGGTGGTGCTCCGCTGCACCGGCTCCCCCTTTGACAAGGGCCAGGAGGCTGAGCCCGGGGAGCCCTCACCGGCCCGGGGCATGGTACGAACCATCCGCTTCCAGAGCCTGCCGCTGGCGGGGCCGTGCCGCCCCGGGCTGGCGCACGGTAGGGAGCACAGGGCTACGGTGGTTAATGCTGAGGAGCTGCTGGATGAGGAGATCCGCTGGAAGCTGCAGAAGCTGCGGGAAGCAAAGAGGGCGGCACTGAAAAAGAAGCAGGAATTCCTCATGTCCGCGCCCCAGGAGGCACCTCCTGGGAAGCTCAGCCCACTTAAGGTGGCTGCCAAAATGGTTGGTTCAAAGCCTCTCACAGTACAGGTAGTGAAGCAATACTCCAGGTCCAAGGACCTGGGGGAGAGATGGCAGGTGCAAGGTGGGCTCCTGGAGCCCTGCCCACCCCTCTTTGTACAGGAGATCAAGCCCCAGGAAACTGTTGAGGGACAAAGATGCTCTTTCTCTTGCCTCTTCCACGGCCGCCCGCAGCCCACCGTCACTTGGTACAACAACGACAAGCCCGTGGGGCGCATCCAGGGCACTGCTGTTCACACCACGGGGTGCTGCTCCACACTGACCTTCCCATCTGTGCTCCCTCAGCATGGTGGCACTGTCACCTGTGTGATCTTCAACCCACTGGGCACAGTCAGCACCTCAGCTGGACTCCATGTGAGGCAGCGAATGCCAGCCTATAAGTACACAAAGAAGGAAAAGGAGGAGATGAAAGTGGAGGAAAAGAAAGAGGAGGAGAAGGTGAAGGAGGAAAAAAGGGAGAAAGAGAAGAAGGAAGAGGAGAAAATGAAGAAAGAGGAGGAAGAAGTTGGTCTGGCCTTTGCAACAGTGAAAGGACTGCCAAGTGCAGTTCCAGACTCAGACTTGCTGTCACTGCCTGTGGAAATCAAAATCACTGCTCCCACTCCGACACCAGAGCAAGACACAGAGATGAGAGAGATCCCACGACTCTCTCCAGAGCAGGCTGCTTCCACCATAAAGCATAAATTTAAGTTTTCATTTGATATGGGAAATGAACCACCCCAAATTGTGGCAGAAGCCCCAGCACATATTCATTGCTGTGAAGGAGAGGAAGTGGTGTTGGAGTGTGCTGTGTCTGGGCAGCCCCCACCAGCTGCGAGCTGGTCCTTGAATGGCCAGAGCCTCTCTGACAGTGAGAGACTGAGGTTTGAAGAGGGCAAGAATGGCACGTACCGCTTACGCCTTCAAGAGGTGTCTGTCACAGATGCTGGGCGATACTGTTGTGTGGCCACAAACGTGGCTGGGACAGCACAGACTGCCTCTGAACTGACAGTGCAGCCCAGGGCACCCAAGCTGTACAGCAAGGATGAGGGCACTGAGGAACTGCCTGCCATGGACCACGTTCTGCACCTCCAAGGCCTCAGCGTACTTGGTAAGGGTGAAGAGGAACAAATTGCATGCCCCAAGGAGGAGGAAGCCCACCTACCCTGGTCCCTGAGGTTGTCTCCACCTCCTGGTGAGCAGTGGGAAGATTGTGAGGAAACACCTCACATCAGGGAAAGTGAGATGGAGGAACCAATGGTGCTGGATATCACGGAAGTTTATGCAAGGCAAGAAATGGGCAATACAGAAGAAAGGGTGAGTTATGCAGATGGTATTTCTGAGATGAGGCAGAACATAGGAAAAGCTGTCTCTGAGGAACACAGCTTTGGAATTGATACCACTGAATTGCATTCTGCTATATCCAGGGAAGGATGTGAATTGGTGGCCAAGGACTCAGGTCACTTTTCTGAGGAGCTGGAGCCTGAAGGAGGCAAGGTGCTACCACATACAGATACTGTGTCCTGGGACATCTTAAAGTCACCATTTATGGAAGCGCAAAGGCAAATACATGCCCCTGAGCAGTCTGCTGTGGCAGGGGAGTGTAAGGATTTATCATTTATGGAAGTACCAGGGCAAATACCTGCCCCTGTGCAGTCTGCTGTGATAGGGGAGTGTAAGGATTTATCATTTATGGAAGTGCAAGGGCAAATACATGCTCCTGAGCAGTCTGCTCTGGCAGGGAAGGGGAAGGATTTATCATTTGTGGAAGTGCCAGAACAAATATATGCCCCTGAGCAGTCTGCTCTGGCAAAAGAAGGTAAGGATTTATCATTTGTGGAAGTGCCAGTACAAATACATGCCCCTGTGCAGTCTGCTCTGGCAGGGGAGTGTAAGGATTCATCATTTGTGGAAGTGCAAGGGCAAGCACATGCCCCTGAGAAGTCTGCTTTGGCAAGGGAGTGTAAGGTTTCACAATTTTTCATTCCTATATCACCTGTGGTGCAAGACGGAAGTGATGTCTGCACAGAGTGTGATGCCTCTGCCAGGGAGGCAGTGACGACTCCTGATGTGCCTCTTGTGGAAGAGCCAAGTGTGCCCCACCTGCAGGACCACATTACAAGCACCCCCACAAAGGAGGAGTTTGGTTTTTATGAATTCTATGCAAGACAGCAACAGGAGGCACAGGACAAGGAGCAAGAGAGATCAGTTGGTATTGAACAGGGCATTAAAGCTGATGATAATCTTTGTGAAGAAGAAGTGATTGATGACGGTGGTGCTACACACTGGAAAATACAAAGTGACAGGCAAATGCTGCAAGAAATGGAGTCTGATGTATGCAGCCCTTCTTTGAATCTAATCCCCACTCCTCCTGGCATAGAAAACTCAGGTCAGGTTTTTACTGAGGAAGCTGAAATTTGTCTGGAGGAAGTGCATTTCAGAGAGCAGCTGTTGCCCTCTGAGCCTGACACTGAGATCATATTTGATCTGAAGAAGTTTGCAGAGCCTTTTCCAGCTGCAGAGACTGTGCAGGCAGAACAGGCACAAACCCCCACAGCACTGGAAAGTGTGGAGGTCATCACTGGGAGCATCTCCCCAGAGCACCAGCATGATGTGCTTGAAGGAGAGATGTCTCTGAGTGAGGAGCTGCGTCACAGCTACAGGATGCAGCAGGAGGAGGTTGATGCCCAGGAAGAGGAAGAGCCAAGAGAAATCACAACAGCTGATTTGCAAACTCCTAATGGGGACCTTGGCAGTGTCATGATACCTGCTGAAGAAGTTCAGGAGTCAAAGATGAGTGTCTGTGGAGAGGACTCACTTCAGGAAAAAATGAATGAATTTTTAACGGAGCCCACACCAGGTTTCCAAAGAGGAGTTCAGGAAACACATGTGTGGGAGAGTGGAGAGCGACTGGAGACCATGGACTCACAAAGTGACAGCTTCATTATGGACTTGAAAAAAGCTGCACATGAAAAGAAACCCCAGGCTGAGCATCAGGCTGAGGAAGATGGTGGTTCTGGGACAGAAAAGTTCTTTGAGCCAGGAAAGAGCAGCTTCACCTGTGAGATGGAAAGCACAGATTCCTCTGAGGAGATGCTCAGAGACATCCAGCAGGAGCCAAACACAACCAAGGGCTTCTCTTTGG